AAAATAAAAAATTAAAGTGACCAAACGGTCACTGAACGACCGTTTGGGGTCAAATTTTTTTTTTTAATACATGAGCCACGAGCCGAGCCGGCTCGTGGGCTCGTCTTGACGAGCGGCTCGTCGAGCGGCTCGTTTCTTAACGAGCCGAACAGGCTCGGCTCGTCTACCGAGCCACCTGCTCGGCTCGTGCTCGGGCTTGTTTTTTTACGAGCCCAAGCGGTTCGTGGGTATGAATAGTACTAGCCGAGCACCCGAGCCGACGAGCCGCTCGACCCAATTGCCACGACTATTCTAGTATTTTGAAATTTGACATTCTAAATATGTCGTGAATATTTATTAAAACGAGTGGTTTCTTTCGACAATTCATGCTTTCTCACATGTGCACGCATTAGCTATGTGTATACATGCATTAACAATTGGTGGCCACACGGATTCGTTGAAGCAAGACGCTTTGTGAATAGATTAGAGGTGTTAACATGGATTGACAATAGCTAGGAGCTTGTAACCGTTGAGTTTTTATTTGTCGTGTGGGTCTATATATATATATATATAATTGCGTATAAAGACTATTTTAAAGTTAAACTCGTTTAAAGTGATCCAATAAATAATTAAAGTTGTTGAACTTTAGGCATCTAAGTAAAGTATGAAGGTAAAATATGTGTAATGATCGAATCAATTAGAGTCGTATTTTAATGATTGACCTGAATACATATGGAAACTATAAATATGATTATAGTCCTCAATTTATATGTGATTTTTATTTTTTTAGTCATCACATCAACACAAGAATATAAGAAACAACATATTGAAAAAGAAGATCTAAAATCCACAATCAATAATAAGAAATCAACAATCGAGAAAAAGGAATTAAGACAATCAAAATTATGGACTAAGAAATCAAAGTCAAGAGCAAGAATTCAATAATCAAAAGAGGTAATATTCAAGATTAAAAGATTAAGAAACCAAATATGAAGAGATTGCAGTTGATTTCCAATAATCAAAATTCAGTAATAAAGAATCATTCTCAATCGATAAAGGTACATTCCGTACTTTATAATTCTCTTGATGATTTGATTAGAGGATTTTGACAATAAAGTAATTAAGTTTTCAAATTATTGAGATTTAAAGTTTTAATAAAATCTAACAACAACTAGTCATGCTATGGGCAACCCTAACTTGCATGAGCCTTTTACAAAAAAACATTTGGGTTCTCTGCTCCAAGGAAGAGGCCGTTTAGTCTTTGTGTATGTCACTAGCACTCGCACCTGAAAATTATTTTATATTTTATGTTGGAGAGAAAATTGTGTCAGTACTTCCTTTCTTTCACAATTTCAAATTTACGGACCGTTCTTTTTAATATGATACAAAATCTCAATCTAATATTATCTTCCATATCACTACTGCCTAGTCCCTCCACCCAAATCCACACCATAAAACCACCTCCTCCTAGTGCTGTAAATGGATCGGATATGAATCGAATCTGTCTATATCCGATCCGATCCGATAAGAATAATTATTCGATTTGATAATCCAGCAGATATTTGATTGTTAAATTCATATCCATTTTGCTATGTTATTGGATATTCGATCCGAAATTAAAGAAATTATGAAAAAAATAATGTTGGAATCAACTTTTTTTTTTTTCCAATTTTTCCAATTCTTAAACGAGTTTAATTTTTCAACTTTTTTTTATTCTAAATTTATTTATTTTAATCACAAATAACATGCCATAAAAATATTTTACCGACTCAATTATTTATAATAAATCGGTTCGGATTGTTGTCGGATCGGATTGACATGTGAATATATTTGATCCATTTAGTTAACAGATTATCGGACTCGAATTTTGATCGAGTTATCGGACTAAGACCATAAATTCATCTCCCATTAATTTCATCGGATTCAGATCAAAATTCAATCCGCTAACAGCCCTGCCTCCTCCTTCCACCACAATTCCCGCGCGGGTCTTAAGTCCACTACCTCCCTCCACCATCATCGCTATATTCCTCCTCTAGACTCTCTCTCTCTCTCTCTAGGTTTCCACCACCGCCAATCGTCACAACCACCACCACAAAGCTTGGAAACCGTCAATCTATCTTCTTCCATAGTCTACACAAAAGAAAAAAAAAATCTCTGATTTCCTTAGCAACATAGGCAGTGTCGACGATGGTGCTTAAGAGTTAATGGCAACAATAATGGTGTGGTTGGTGATTGATCTAAAGAATTTAGACTTGCAATTTTATTAAACGCAATCATGATAAAATACAAATAAAAAATTAATATAGCTCTAAGCTCTCTGTATTTGGAGAGTCAAATTCAATCGATATTTGTAGTTATCACGATTGCATTTAATTAAAAATTACAAGTTTCATTGCTCAGATACTTAAATTATTGAATTGAATAAACCGTTTTTATGAATTTTAAATATGTTCTCTATTATGATCAAGATACTTTTTAAAAATAAAAAATCTCTTAACACGTCTCTTCTTTAATCATGTGTATCATTGTTCACGTAATCACGTTAGTTCTACAAGGTAAATTCCACGAGGTAGCTTTGGTATAATATGGCTTTACTTATTATTGTGGGATTTTATTCTAAAATATGGGAAAATTATATAAAACCAGTGGTTTAATTTGTCATTTTTAAAAGTCAGTTTTTAAGTTTATTTTTGTAAAAATCAGGTAGTATATTAAAACCTAATTGTTAACCTAATTTCTACCCCAATTCCCGTCGCCTCCCCTTTCCTCTCCTCCCCCTCCCGCCTCTCCTCCCCTTCCTCTAATCCACAACAGCGTCGCGATTGCCGGCGTCGCGACTGCGACGCTGACGCTGTTTCTCCCCCCATTCCCCGTCCCCTCCCCTTTCCTCTCCAACGTGTGCGTCTTGACTCACAGAAATTAAACCAGTTTTCCATTTTCCCAGGCCAGGTTTCATTATTTTTTTGCAGGACAGATTTCATCTTCACATATGTGTGAAATTATTATTTAGGATGAAGAATAACTTTGATACTGCATATATGTACAGAATCACAGATGGTGGGTATTGAAGGGCACAATCCTAGTGGACACTGTCTAATTGCATCAAAGATTGTTGACTGTGTCCCCTTATCAGTTTCTTCGAATGATAATCTCCCTCCAGGAAAGAAACAAGCTATGGATACGAATATTCATTCAATAGATCCCTCTCAGGAAACAAGGGAGCTCTCATTGGTATGTAAGCTTGCATTTCATATTAGAAAATGAAATACAATCAGCATTCTTGGTTTACATTTTCCCAGGGAAACTAATTGTTTCGGATGTGATTAGCACGGATATGTCATTGGTTTATACTTTAGATGCTCCCTGTGTGGGTGTCCGTGACCTGGAAATTGGGACTGTGACTCGTTGAAATAGAGCTGTGACATGTAAAAGTTTTGAATTTTTTTAGTCTGTGACCTATAAAAAATTACCCGTGACCTTAAAATTCCTGATTTGTGACCAACGAAGTTAACTGTGACCTATAGATTTTTTCATCTGTGACCTCCAAATAATCCGAGACCAATTAATTTGATAAGCTGTGACCTGGAATTTTTTCATCTGTGACCTCAAAATAATCTGAGGCCAATTAATTTGATAAGCTGTGACCTGAAATTAATTTTTAACTAATTAATAAGATACACGCTATCAAATTACACAATTAAATATTTAATTAATTAATAAAAAGAAGAAACCTGATTTTTACAATTTTAAAGTTTAACACCTGATTTTTTAAAATGTCAAACTAAATACCTGAGGTATAAACTTTTCCCCTAAAATATTGGGAGACATAAGTGTAAGTAGGGCTGGGCGTGGGTTGAGTTAAATTGATTTTGAGTCCAACCCAAACTCAACCCAATCCAAATCGATTAAACTCGGGTTGGTTTGCATTGGATTGATTGGTTTGAACTTGAGTCCAATTTAAGTTGGACATTTTTTTTATGAGTCAATGGTTGAGACATTTTTCGTTGAATTTGAACAATTTTTTGAAAGGTGATTTGAAAGGCTTTAAGTCAATTGAAGTTGGATCGTTGGTCTGTGTGATTAAGTTTCATTCCAATAAAACAATATAAATTAAAAATATTGTAAAACATGTTAAATAGATTATATCATGATCAAATTAATACTTATTAAATTAATCTAAATAAATGTTGAAAAACCTGCATATTATACCTATTGAATAAATTGAATTCAATATAAATACTAAAGATGTTAAATCATCTAAGCTCAATACAAAATATCTTCCTTCAATTCAAGTATTTATTCAAAAATCATGTCAAAAAATCCAGTCGAGTCGATGCATGAACAGCAATGGGAGGCAAAAGAGACAAGAGGCAAGGGAGAATTTTGATCATTTAGTTTTTGGTTTTAAGTAATAATTTTCTTATTGGGTTGTGTTAGATGGGTTTGATTGGGTTTTAATAAATAATTTGAAACCCAACCCAACTCGAACTAAAATTTGATTTTCTAACCTGAACACAACCTAATTGAACTAAAAAAAAATCCAAATCGGTTGGTTTGGGTTGAGTTGATCGATTTGACTGGTTCAAATTGATTTTTATCCAGCCCTAAGTGTAATAATAAGCAAAAATTAATTACATTCATTGCAATTAAAATATAGTGTTAATATATTTATCCTTTTATATATCGTAGATGTAGATTATCTTTACTTTCTCAGGAAAATAAAAAACTAATGAGATGTGGTTCCTATATGGCTCTTATAGCTGAGCCCACCCATACTACCTAGTTACGGGGACAGAATGACTCGTGACACGACTCTCATGGAGTTGTGTCATGTGGCTTATGCGGTCCAACACATTTTTAAACAAGTTTGTATGAACTTTATTTTTTGGGAGAATATATTTTGCAAGATTAATGTTTTCAAGAATGTATGGTTAAAAGTAAAAAAAATTTTGGATTTTCCTATGAAATTGTTTTATTGAAAAAATATTTGATTCAAAATGAGTTTGAGAAAAATGAGTTTGAGAAAAATGAGACTTAAACACGAGCTTATACCTCGAGCTAAATGTTAAAGAATAAAATTCATATCGAATAAAGATGAAAATATAGACTAATTTATAAAAATTTGTATTATTCCTCTTAATAAGATTGACATTTTAAAATGAAACGCCAAATTTTAATATGGTATCAAGGTCTATTAAGCTCCAACGACTATTTGATCCGATTAAGATTCAAAAAATTGAGCACACAAATTTCAAGATTAGTTTGCTCAAACAAGCCACCATCTTGCAAGAGCGTGTTTAATAATAAAATTTCATATCAAATAAAGATGAAAATAAATATCAATTTATAAATGTTTGGATTACTCATCTTAATAAAGTTAACTTTTTATGATAGAAACTCAAATCTTAACACTAAATTCGTGGATTACGCTAGGCCATGAATTTCATTTTACCGCATACATTGAGCTAGATTCAAAAATAGGGATGGCCACGGGGAAAACCCTCCTCGTCGCTAATCCCATCGAAATTTTTGGAAGGTGAGATGGAGAATAATCTCATGTTTGGCCCCAGTTATTTAAAACTTATTTTTTTTAAACTCATTTTTAACCATATTTTTAATCAATCTTTATTAAAATTTATTAAAAATTAATTTTTAGCCAAACTAGGTAGAAGCTAAATCTCCATTTCTCGTCTCGTTTACTTATTAATTTTCAATTTTTAAATACGATTTAAACCTTTAAAAAAAAAAAAAGAGTTGTCAAATCCCATTTTCCAATGGGTTGGATATTTTCCATCCCACTCTGATTGAAAAGGAAGTAGGACATTTTACCATTCCTTCTTTGAAACTCCTAAATATTTAGCAGTTGTTTAATTTTGATTCTCTGAGAATTATTTCTCCCTCCCACTTATTTCAATCACATATTAATTTATATATATATATAAAAAGAAATTCACGTTTTGTAATATTTTAATACTTTTTAATCACAAATTTACTAAGTCCGTATTTGATGTGGTATAAAATTTGATAAACATTTCAAGTCAAAATCAATAATCAATTTTAATCACAAATTTCATGGAATTTGCAAATTTTAACCACATATTCCATAAAATTTTATCAACATTTACTAAAAATCTGATTTTAATCCAAATCAGGAACTAAAAAACATTTGAAAAAACTAACAATCCTTAACGTGAAAAATAGCACAAGAATATTTACAATTGTTATATATTAATTCCACTCTATATTCATTCACATTAAAATATTAAAAAATTACTATTTCAATCACCACGTCAAATTTCAATATTGTTTTTATTAAATTCATTTATCCATTTTTGCAAATAAATAAATAAATAAATCCTATTCAGACCCTAAACTTGTGTGAACGAAACTAGGAACGAATAAAATTAAGGGAAAATTATAGCAGCGGTCCCTAACCTTTTTAATTTTTGCAGACTTTATCCAAACCTTCAACGTGTGCCAGCGAAGGTCCCAAACCTTTCATAAATATGCATTTAGAGTCTATCTAGATGGAAACTGTCCATGAAACTGTCGGTTGACTAAGAAAAATGATTTTTACCAATTTTGACCAAATTGAGAAGGTAAAATGGTAAGTTTAAATTTAACACATTAAGGCCCTGTTTGGGCAGCTAAAAATCTGATTATAATTCAAAATTGGACCGTTATATTTGCAACGGTCCAAAAATCACAATTAGCCAACTATCCAATTTGTTTTCTGTTTCCTTTCTTACCCTGCAGCAACTGTGGCGTGGATAAGACAACCCACCTATCACACAAATTGGCCAACCATATTTCGTTTGTGCAGACCTTCCTCCACCGACAATCGCCAATACAGCTTTCTACCATTTCAGCTTCGTCAACCACCATATCCAACCGGGAGAAGGTTCGACCGTATGCACCAAAACATCTGGGGTTTGCAACGGTCTCATCGGCCGCTGATTGTTGACAACTTCCACTGACGGAGAAGCCACATGTTAAGTAAATTCCCAATAGGATTGACATATATTCATATTTGATCGATTTAGTTAACATATTATCGGATTCGAATCTTGATCGAGTTATCGGATTAAGACCATAAATTCATCTCCCATTAATTTCATCGAATTCAGATCAAAATCCAATCCGCTGACAGCCCTGCCTCCTCCTTCCACAACAATTCCCGCCCAGGTCTAAGTCCACTACCTCCTTCCACCATCATCGCTATATTCCTCCTCTAGACTCTCTCTCTCTCTCTCTCTAGGTTTCCACCACCGCCAATCGTCACAACCACCTCCACAAAGCTTGGAAACCGTCAATCTATCTTCTTCCATAGTCTACACAAAAGAAAAAAAAATCTCTGATTTCCTTAGCAACATAGGCAGTGTCGACGATGGTGCTTAAGAGTTAATGGCAACAATAATGGTGTGGTTGGTAATTGATCTAACGAATTTAAACTTGCAATTTTATTAAACGCAATCATGATAAAATACCAATAAAAAATTAATATAGCTCTAAGCTCTCTGGAGAGTCAAATTCAATCGATATTTGTAGTTATCATGATTGCATTTAATTAAAAATTACAAGTTTCATTGCTCGAATACTTAAATTATTGAATTGAATAAATCATTTTTATGAATTTTAAATATGTTCTCTATTATGATCAAGATTCTTTTTAAAAATAAAAAATCTCTTAACACATCTCTTCTTTAATCATGTGTATCATTGTTCGCGTAATCACGTTAGTTCTACAAGGTAAATTCCACGAGGTAGCTTTGGTATAATATGGCTTTACTTATTATTGTGGGATTTTATTCTAAAATATCGGGAGACATGAGTGTAAGTAGGGCTGGGCGTGGGTTGAGTTAAATTGATTTTGAGTCCAACCCAACCCAAACTCAACTCAATCCAAACCGACCAAACTCGGGTTGGTTTGCATTGGATTGATTGGTTTGAACTTGAGTCCAATTTAAGTAGTACAATTTTTTTATGAGCCAGTGATTGAGACCTTTTTCATTGAATTTGAACAATTTTTTGAAAGGTGATTTGAAAGGCTTCAAGTCAATTGAAGTTGAATCAGTGGTACGTGGGATTAAGTTTCATTCCAATAAAACAATATAAATTAAAAATATTGTAAAACGTGTTAAAATAGATTATATCATAATCAAATTAATACATATTAAATTAATCTAAATGCGTGTTGAAAACCTGCATATTATACCTATTGAAAATGAATTCAACATAAATACTAAAAATGTTAAATCATCTAAGCTCAATACAAAATCTCTTCCTTCAATTCAAGTATTTATTCAAAAATCATGTCAAAAAATCGAGTCGAGAAGCCTATGCACGAGTAGCAATGATAGGCAGAAGAGACAAGAGGCAAGCGAGAATTTTAATAAATAACCCGAAACCCAACCCAACTCGACCTAAAATTTGATTTTCTAACCCGAACACAACCTAATTGAATTAAAAAACCAATACAAATCGGTTGGTTTGGATTGAGTTGATCGATTTGACTGGTTCAGGTTAATTTTTGCCCAGCCCTGAGTGTAATAATAAGCAAAAATTAATTACATTAATTGCAATTAAAATATAATGTTAATATATTTATCCTTTTATATATCGTAGATGTAGATTATCTTTACTTTCTCAGGAAAATAAAAAACTAATGAGATGTGGTTCCTATATGGCTCTTATAGCTGAGCCCACCATACTACCTACTTACGGGGACAGAATGACTCGTGGCACGACTCTTATGGAGTTGTGTCATGTGGCTTATGCGGTCCAACACATTTTTAAACAGTGGTCTTATAGTTTGTATGAACTTTTGGGAGAATATATTTTGTATGATTAATGTTTTCAAGAATGTATGGTTAAAAGTAGGAAAAAAAAAATTGGATTTTCCTATGAAATTGTTTTATTGAAAAAATATTTGATTCAAAATGAGTTTGAGAAAAATGAGTTTTTAAAAAATGAGACTTAAACACGAGCTTATACCTCGAGCTAAATGTTAAAGAATAAAATTCATATCGAATAAAGATGAAAATATAGACCAATTTATAAAAATTTGTATTACTCATTTTAATAATATTGACATTTTAAAATGAAACGCCAAATTTTAATATGGTATCAAGGTCTATTAAGCTCCAACGACTATTTGATCCGATTAAGATTCAAAAAATTGAGCACACAAATTTCAAGATTAGTTTGCTCAAACAAGCCACCATCTTGCAGGGGCGTGTTTAATAATAAAATTTCACATCAAATAAACATGAAAATATATATCAATTTATAAATGTTTGGATTACTCATCTTAATAAAGTTGACTTTTTATAATAGAAACTCAGATCTTAACACTAAATTCGTGAATTACGCTAGGCCATGAATTTCATTTTACCGTATACATCGAAATTTTTGGAAGGTGGGATGGAGAATAATCTCATGTTTGGCCCCAATTATTTAAAACTTATTTTTTTTTTTTTAAACTCATTTTTAACCACATATTTCATCAATCTTTATTACAATTTATTAAAAATTAATTTTTAGGCAAACTAGGTAGAAGCTAAATCTCCATTTCTCGTCTCGTTTACTTATTAATTTTCAATTTTTAAATACGATATAAACCTTTAAAAAAAAAAAAGTTGTCAAATCCCATTTTCCAATGGGTCGGATATTTTCCATCCCACTCTGATTGAAAAGGACGATAGGGACGAAGTAGGACATTCTACCATTCCTTCTTTGAAACTCCTAAATATTTAGCAGTTGTTTAATTTTGATTCTCTGAGAATTATTTCTCCCTTACACTTATTTCAATCACGTATTAATTAATTAAAAAAAAAATTACGTTTTGTAATATTTTAATACTTTTTAATCACAAATTTACTAAGTCCGTATTTGATGTGGTATAAAATTTGATAAAAATTTCAAGTCAAAATCAATAATTAATTTTAATCACAAATTTCATGGAATTTGCAATTTCTTAACCACATATTCCATAAAATTTTATCAAAATTTACTAAAAATTTGATTTTAATCGAATTCAGGAACTAAAAAACATTTGAAAAAATCTAACAATCCTTAATGTGAAAAATAGCAAAAGAAAAAAAATGTTCACACAAGAAAAAAGAAGGGTGTCTCTATTTACAGTTGTTATATATTAATTCCACTCTATATTCGTTCACATTAAAATATTAAAAAATTACTATTTCAATCCACGTCAAATTCCAATATTGTTCTTATTAAATTCATTTATATATTCTTGCAAATAAATAAATCATATTCAGACCCTAAACCCGTGTGAAGGAAAATAAGAACAAATAAAATTAAGGGAAAATTACAGCAGCGATCCCTAACCTTTTCAATTTTTGCAAACTTTACCCAACCTTCAATGTGTGTCAGCGAAGGTCCCAAACCTTTCATAAATATGTATTTAGAGTCTATCTAGATAAAAACCGTCCATGAAACTGTCAGTTGACTAAGAAAAATGATTTTTGATCAATTTTGACCAAATTGAGGAGGTAAAATGGTAAGTTTAAATTTAATACATTAAATATATAAACAAAAACCAAAAACAAGAGAAAAGAAACAAAAAAGGGATGTATTCTTCACAAATCCATACAGGATAGCGATATAGAGAAAGAGCAACTTGATTGATGACTCGTGCTTTAGATTGTGTGGTATTTAAGGATCCTAATAGTTACTGCTCTCACAAGTGGCAGTTTGAATCTATACATACATATATACATACAAACACAACGTGGAGCTGGAGAAAATTGAAAACCAGATCAAATCAAGTAGCCAATTTGAAAAAAAAAATTGGAAACGAAATTTAGAATCAAGGATGGTTGAGATTGTGACAGGCGGAGATGTGTGTTCAAAAGGCACGATGGTGGAATGATTGACAATTACTGTACCTCCTCGGGGCTCCATGGATATTTTTTTTACAACTGGATTGATGCTCGGATTTAGCCCCGGGTCCCTTGACCCTGGTTTCCAATTTTTTCTCCGAGCAAGGTGTGCTTTCTTTCTACCAGCTTTTGGCTGGAGCTATGGTTCCACCTGGGCTGAGTCCGTCTGGATTGCTTAATTTGTTATGCAAACTAGGGCTGTCCGTGGGTCGGTTCGGTTCGGTTCTGAAGAGACCCGAACCGATCCAAAACTTTCGGGTATTTAATAAATGGACCCGTCGAGTCCAAATATAATTTTGGAACCGTTCGGATTCGGGTCGGTTCGGTTCCGTTCGGTTCTGTACCATAATTAAATTTTTTTATATTTACAGCAACACTATATAAATACAACTAATGACATTTCATTCGTAACTTTTACAAATTAACGTAGTCCAATTCAAAAACATCTAAATAACTAGCCGTCCAATAAGATTAATTCAATGCATACAAATACCAAAAAGTAGATATTAATATTAAGAAACACTACATAAAGCATATTCATTTGTTTCAAATTAAAATGAGATAATTGTGGGAATCAGTCTGATCAGGCTTCTTAGGGGTTAGGGTTTTAGCAATTTTAAAAAGGGGAAATTGCGGCAGCGGTCCCTCACCTTTTTAATTTTTGTAGACTTTACTCTGACCTTCAATTTCTATTAGCAAATGTCCCAAATCTTTCATAAATATGCACTTGAAGTCTATCTGGATGGAAACCCTCCATCAATCGTCAGTTGACCAAGAAAAATGAATTTTGACCAAATTGAGATGAGTAAAATGGTAAATTTAAATTCAATACATTAAATAAATAAAAAAAACCAAAAAATAAGAAAAGAAACAAAAAATGGATGTCTTCTTCACGAACCCACAAAGGATTGAGACATAGAGAAAGTTCAACTTGGTTGATGACTCATGCTTTAGATTGTGTGGTATTCTGCAGTTACTGTTCTCACAAGTGACAGTTTGAATCTATACATACAGCACATGGTGGAGTTGGAGAAAGCTGGAAAACCAAATCAAATCAAACTTAGATGCGAACTACTCATTTTAAAGTTCATGCGTAGCAAGTGAAACTCCAATAGAAAACACACAGTGTGTTAGAAACAGTAGCCAATTTCAAAAAAAAAAAAAAATTTGAGAACGAAATTTAGAATCAAGGATGGGTGAGACTATGACGGCGGAGATGTGGGTTCAAAAGGCACGGCGGTGGGATGATCAAAAATTATTGTACCGCCTCGGAGCTCCATGGATATTTTTTTTACAACTGGATCGGTGCTCGGATTCAGCCCCGGGTCCGTTGACAAAAACTGGAGAGGAGAAAATAGAACTAATTTCAGAAAGCTGAAGTGCAATTTCTGATTTTTATTTTTCAATTTGGAGTCCTTTCAGATTATTTATAATGTGCGGGGAAAATGAGTTTCAATTTGGAGCCCTATGTTATTTTATGAATTGCTATACTAGAAAATGATTTTCCAGTGTCTAGTTCGCCGTAGATTTCTGAATTAGCTGTAGGACACTATCAAAAGGATTTTGCTAAATGTGCAAGGCCCCACGCAATAGGGGGTCCACGATTTTTTTATTGGACGTAGTCCCCTTGTTATTTTTTGAACTGTTATACTAGAAAATGATTTTCCAATATCTAGTTTCATGTAGATTTCTGAATTAGCTGTTGGAGCACTATCAAAAGGGTTTTGTTAAATGTACATCGGGTGTACAAGGCCCCTCACAATAGGGGGTCCACGATTTTTTTATTGGACGTAGCCCCCCTTGCTATTTTATGAATGCTATACTAGAAAATGATTTGCTAGTGTCTAGTTTGCTGTAGATTTATGACTTAGCTTTTGGAGTACTATGAAAAGGGTTTTGTTAAGTATAGATAGGGTGTACAAGGTTCCTCACAGTCACAGTAGGGGGTCCAAGATTTTTTTTATTGGGCACAGACCCTCTATTGTGAGGGTACCGATTTACAAATAACAAAACTCTATCAAAATTTGCAACCACAAACTGGTCCTCACACCTATTAACACAAACACAAGAGCGCATTAGCTTCAAATCTATGAAACTCGTGCGCATGATTGTAGGTCAATGGTGCGTTGATTTCAGAGGAAAAAAATAATGAAAATAAATATTAGTGGATAAATTTAGAATAATATATTTTTATTTAGGACGTGTGTGAGCCACATTATTTTGGAATAGTAAATTGATAAAAATGTGTGGTTGAAAAATAAAGAAAAGTTATTGATGTGATGGGAAATATTATTTTATTAAAGAATGTGTGCTTGAAAATGAGCAGAAGAATAAGAATGAAAATTTTAACGTGGTTTAAACATGGGCTTAATATTAGAGGAAATTACACCCACCCCTGTTATTAGATATCCATTTTCATAATTCCTGATTTAAGTTTGATATTTCACTAATCAGGTTTTAAGGAATTAAAAAAAAATATTTTTTATTTTTATTTTTATATTTATTTACAATAAATTAATTTATATATACCCCCACCATACGTAGCCCTAACCCTAAAATCATTAACCCATATCCTATCTTCCTCCCGACTCTCTTCTCCACCANACGCCGCCGTCGTCTCACCCATCCTCCATTGCCGTTCTTCCCTGTCGCCGTTTTCCCACCCATATCTCCACTCTCTCGCCATTATCCACTCCCTTCACACACGGTAACACAGCAACAACCACCGACTGTCGCCTCCACCGCCATCGTGTCCTCCCTGTTAAACTTCGAAGCGGAGACGATGCGCCGTCTCCTCTCCTCTCCTCCCCTTCTCTGTAAAGCTGTCGTCGTCGCCTCGCTCCTCCCCCTTTTCTGCCAACCGCCGTCGCCGTCGCTCTTCTCTCCCCCTTTCTCCCTCCGGGCCATTCTCCGTCGCCTCCCCCCTCGATTGTTGTAGCAGCGTCTGTGAACGGCAGCAGCATCGCGACGCTCCATTCACAGATGCGTGCGGAGGCAGTCCGGTGGGTGTGATTGAGTAGGTGCGACGGCGGTGGAGATGGAGGTGCGGTGGAATGGTCGTGGTTGGTCTGATTTTTGCAGATCTGTGGCGGTGGATCGGGGTATTACGGATTGATAGTCATGGTTTGTCTATTTTTGTTAATGGTATGGATTGACGTGGGCCTCGTGAATTTGAAGGAGGCAGCGGCGCCGTGAATGTATGATGCTCACGACGCCGCTGCAGATCTGATTTTTCCATTTTTATGTTTTTAGTTTCGATCTTGATTTTGATTGGATGGGTATGGTGATTTTAATGGTTGATGTTTGTCAGTGGTTGCTGTGGTGGTTTTTCAGTCAAAGGGTGGTTGATGTTTGTTGTTGGCTATGGCGGATATGGCGACGATTTTGTTGTTGTTCCGTGTGGTAGTGGCATCGTGGTTCCGTGTTTGGGTGGTGTTGGCGATGGTTGTGTGTTCTGCGTTTGATTTGTGTTAGTGGTGGTCACAAACGATTTTGATGGTGGTCACAAATAATTTGATTGTTTGTGACCACTAATTATTAATTGTGACATAAAAATTATTAATTTGTGACCTAAAAATTATTAATTGTGACCAATAAATTGATAAATGGTGACCTAAATAAGTATTGTGACTTCTAAATTTTGAGATCTGTGACCGATGAACAAATTTTGACTTTTAAATTTCTAAATTGTGACCAATAAATAAATTGTGACCTATGAAAATTTTGAATTGTGACCAAATTGTATAGATCTATGACCTTAACATATTTGTCGGAATCGAAAAAGTCGTCGGAAAAGTCGCTGGAATGGTCGCCGGAATAGCCCCGGAGTTGTAGGGGTGGTGAAGGTGGGGGTGGATTAATTATTTTATAGTAGAATTAAATATTAACAATAAATTAATTTAATAATTATTATTTCATAATTAAAAATTTAAAGAAATCTGATTTTTGAAATTTAAAACATATTTTGGTATTTTTGAAATGGATATAAGTAAAGGCATATATGTATCCTTCTCTTAATATTATATACGTTTTGTACGAGATTAAAAATATAACAAACTTATGTGGACATAAATAGATGCTCCAAAAACAAACGGAAACCATTATTCAATATTCAGATAAGGAAAACGAAAACACTCGCTTTGGCTTTACGGAGCAGAGCTAATAAGCAATTCCTAATTCCTTTTGTGGTTTTTTTCAATCTTTTGAGTTTCTATTCTTCTTTCATTCTAAAGATAACAATTTTCAAGCATTTTTTCCTTGCACTGGAAAACGTGCTAAATAGTCCATTTCATTAATCTCTCCCAAGAATTCTTAATTCCAATTCCAGCAGGGTACTCTAGATAAATCTTGAATTAGTCCCTGATTGTGTGCTGTATAAAGAAAACAAAGCTTTTTTGAACCAGCAAGTGACTGCAGTTCTCGTTGTAACAAAGTTTCAAGGTGATTCTCCATATACATTAATACCCTCTTTCCTTTGAAGGTTGTTAATAATTTGTTCCTTGGTGAATCTAGCCTGGAATTTTCCGTTCTGTTTCATATTATGTTTTCCAAGTTGCCATGGTTTGTGAGATTTGTAGCTGTTTCATGCTCACCACATGTTTGATCAAAGTTTACATTGTAATACATCCTAGCGTGTGATGATTTTTTCCAGTGAATTCAGTTGACTCACTGCGTGCGAGTGTCCTCGAGTGCAAAACCTTTCAATGAATTTCGATATTTTCCCAATGATGAATCGTGAATTGTATGTAGTAATTTTTTTTTTTACATTCAAAGGGTTAGTGTTTTTCTTAATTATCTGTTTGCACGGTTTCTCTTGATCTCTGGAATAGTTCTTGTTGGAATGCGGAACAAGAATCATCCAAAAAATAAAAAATTTCTTTATTTCAAGAATTAAATATCGCTGCTAAATGGTCGCGTCTACGTTATAATCAAGAAATAAACATTAACAATGTATCCAAATTCGAATCAAAATCTTGATCCAATCTAAATCACGAATTTCAATCTTCTGGATTATGAACTTCCAACTTTTGATTTCAAGAACTAAGTGCTTTAAATCTTCAAGTCTTCTATAGTATTTTCTAAAGTCAAAACTAACGTGTGGACACCTTCTTTTAGTTAAACTAAAAACCAATCATATTAGTTGTCAACAATTTATTTATGATCAAAATATAAGTTATATTATATTTTGCTTCTCCACACAATCATCCAACTTATATTATCACAAATAATTATTGGCATTTTTATTCGCATGTTCAATATGAAATAATGCAATAACAATAAATACATAATATATTTCATTTACCATAGAACATGTTATTTTACAATAGCAAAACTATACTATATGGACACACAACCTAATAGTTGTTTCCTGTGTCACTATATAGAAGAAGAGATGTATCATTTCTTAATAGCAACCTTCTTAATAGCAACCGAGAAAAAGCTTCTCGGTTTTCATAGAATGTATCTAATCTAGACTCTAATTTTCTGAAGACTAGCTTATGTATCCTCATTCTTAAAAGTCTCCTCTTAAGGATTCGCATGGCAAGCACTTCCAACATGTTGTTGAATCACAACCTTCAATGTTCTGGCACCATATGGTCCATATCCAAGGAGTTCAACTGTTGCATCACTCGCCTAAATTTTTTGATCTGCTCTCTTCTTTTATACTAGTGCCAACTGTAACCTGACAATACTGCTAATCTGTTTGAGGTCAAGAGCTGGATTGTCGACACGATTCATGAACTCGGAGCTGAAAATTAATCTTGCAGCCTCCATTACCCTCTTCTTCATAGTTTCATAAGCCATCTCCTTAGGCAAGGTATCATTGTCCGTGTTAAGTATATACTGTGAACCCACATTGATGTCATGATGATTACAATATTGTTGACTCACAATGCGCTCGTAGTGAATCAGTTACTCTACCATCATCCAGGATTTGAAGGAACACATTAAATACATCAGAATGAGCATTTTTTGTAATGACCAAGGTTTTTTACCCAAGTCGCTAACTTACGTACTGTTCACTTCGGGTGGACATATGCCCACTTACCCCCTCACAGCTTTCTATTACGTCTTCTAGGATTCGAACCCAAGACCTCTGCCTAATGAGATACTTAAGTTGAATCTTGGTATATCCAATTGGTATCAGGATTCAACTTAAATCTCTCATTAGGTAGAGGTCTTGGGTTCGAATCTTGGGGACGCGATAGAAAGTCGTGAGGGGGTAAGTGGGCATAGGCCCACCTAAAGCGGACAATACGTAAGGTAACAGCTTGGTTATAGAGACCTAGGTCGTTACAAAAAATGCGCATTTTTTGTAACGACTCAAGTCTCTATACCCAAACTGTTAGCTTACGTACTGTCCGATTTAGGTGGGCCTATGCCCACTTACCCCCTCACGGCTTTCTATAGCGTCCTCAAGATTCGAATCCAAGACCTCTATCTAATGAGAGACTTAAGTTGAATCCCGGTACCAGTTGTGAGGGGTAAGTGGGCATAGACTCACTCAAAGCAGACAGTACGTAAGTTAACGGTTTGGGTATAGAGACCCGGGTCGTTGCATTTTCATTCATGTTAAGAATTGAAATTCCATCTTAAAAGGTCAACCTTGTTAGGAGGAGTAGCACAATATCTTTATTAATTGGTCTGTGTCAACATCATTTATCGATGTGGGATATATATCCTTTAACACGCCCCTGCAAGATGGTGGCTCATTTGAGCAGACCAATCTTGCAATCCACGTGCTTATTTTAGAGTTTTAACGGGATCGAATTGCTCGTCGGAACACAATGGGCTCTGATACCATGTTAAGAATTGAACACGCCCCGCAAGATGGTGGCTCATTTGAGCAGACTAATCTTGAAATCCATATGCTCATTTTAGAGTTTTAATGAGATCGAGTCGCTCGTTGGAGTATAATGGGCTCTGATACCATGTTAAGAATTGGAGTTCCATCTTAAAAGGTCAACTTTGTTAAGAGGAGTAGCACAATATCTTTATTAATTTGTCTGTGTCAACATCATTTATCGATGTGGAATATATATCCCTTAACAATTCCCATCAAACATAATAACTGCAGATGGCCACCTTTGGAAAATAATGTGAACTGCCCTCCTTCATATCCAATGTAACCTTGGGGCTCCAATCAATTGTGGAACTGCATGTTTTTCCATGTACTAGCCCATATCGATCTACAAGAGCTTCTTTGGTGTTAAACATAAAGGAAGGAATTGCCTTTGCAAGCTCCGTCTTTTCAACAACTGTAGGACCCATGAACATGAAGCTAGTAGCAGGACGGTGGGGATCTGATGCATAGTGAAGCGATAAAGATTCAACGCACGCCTAAAGACCGGTTGATTCTGCAAATACTTGATGTTTAGGGAGTCAAAGATCGTTGATTCTTCAAAAAGAATGTTGAAATTCGACGATTATATTAGAAATTTCTCAATCTTATTAATAATGAAATTCAACCGAAAATAACGACAACCTATAAAGTTTTTAAATAGCAATTCGAAGACAAAAAAACTCTGAATCTAATAAAGACGAAAAACTTCTTACTTAATTAAAGAACATGAGACAAAATAAAATATTATAAATAAAGTATTGATTCTGCGAGAGATATGCTCACTCTATCTTGATCTGAAAGGCCTTCCCGGGATCTTGGACTAGCCTCTGCTACAGATCTTACTGCAGGATCTTGACCGACCACATGTCTATGTAACTCTTCCTCCAAATGCAACAGCTTCTTCCTCTCCAATTGTTGTAGTTTGGAAACAAGAATATATGTCCATTTACTAACAATCTCAGCAATATCTCTACCAGTAACTTCTTCTCTATGCATGGACTTTCCAGACTTCTGCAGTTTCAAGTTGACGCTGCAGAAAGTTTAGGCTCCCATGCTTCAACTCAGCAGCACAGTTGAGATAATACTCCTCAGCTTGCTGGATCTCTACATTTACTCTGTCAATCTCTTCCTTGATAGAATGTATGCTTGTCATGACAGGTTTTTCATGCTCCCACTGCTCATTCAGCTCATCTTGTCCCTGCTTCAAGAGAGACAATTCTACCTCAAAACAATTTAGCCATCTTTTGATGCTTTATCAGTGTCATTGGTAAGAGAGAGCCTTTCCATCTCAAGTTTCAGAACAGCACGGTTAATTTCATCAAAGGGCAGTTGGTTTTGAAGTAATCTCCATTTTCAGTTTAGCTGCTGCTTTGTCAACAAGCTCAATAGCTTTGTCAGGTAGGAAACGTCCACTGATGTAGTGGTTTGATAGAATTGGAGCTTCAACAAGGGTACTGCCTGAAATGCAGACTCCAGCAGCTCGTACTTTTCACGCAGACCACTGAGAATAGAGATGGTGTCTTCCACTGAAGGTTGATCAACATAAACTTGCTGGAACCAGCTCGCCATGGCCTGATCTTTCTCAATATTCTTATGATATTCATCCAGAGTGGTTGCACCAATGCATCGTAGCTCTCCACCACCTAGCATAGGCTTCAAGAGTTTGCCAGCTTCTGTTTCACCACTGGTAGCACCTGCACCAACCACTGTGGATCTCATCAATAAAAAGGATTATCTGGCCAGTCTTCAAGAGTTTGCCAGCTTCTGTTTCACCACTGGTAGCACCTGCACCATCCACTGTGGATCGCATCAATAATAAGGATTATCTGGCCACCCGAATCCGTAACTTCTTCAACACCTGCACCACTGGTAGCACCTGTACCATACTCTTTCTTGAACTCCTTGGCTCGCTGTATACGCCCTTCTAGAACTCTTCCTAACATTGTTCCAGCATCTCATCTCATCTCTCTAATTATTTTTGGACATTCCTCATATCACCTTGAATTCTCCAGTCCTTAGTCCACCACCATTAGTAATGTCTAGAATTATTATTAAGTCGGTTAATAACTGACTTCACGACCTACAAATATGAGATTTTGGTGCATGTATTCTATGTATGAGTGGAGTGATTAGAGATTGTGGATAGATAGAGAGTGTATTTGGGCACCGTGAGATTTAGTTTTGTGAAGTGAGTGCGCTTTCATAAAATATTAAATTGGGGTGAGGAATTAGTGTCTTTGACCCAATTAAAATTACACAAGTGATTTTTTAAATAAAATATTTCTGTGAGTTTAAACTCAATGTCTTCTGTATTGAAATGCTTACATACCACAATCTGCTTAGGTACTGAAGAATCTCACTTAAAGCTTTTACAAATATTGCACACATGCCAACTCATTTCCTTGAATTTTGCAGGGACCATGTATGACAAGGCCTTCATGTCAATTTATAGACGAATTTCATGACAGTAGGATTTTACTTTGTGAATTTCACTGAGTGGTAAAACTAAAAATTCTCCCCTTCTACCAGGGATGCTCTTTCATGTGCCTTATCTCTGCCCTAAAACCTCGCCCCTTTTCCCCCTCTTCTCCAAAACCTCAAAATCACTCTTTCTCCGTCGTAAATCATTTTCATACCCCCACCACTACCATTCCCCTGTGCAGAATAATGCCAAAAGCCAACACAGAAAGCCTCTTTCCATGAACAAAATGACAACCCAATTGTCCATCTCGGCAGCTCTCCTTCAAAATCCCAGAAATTCAGTCCCCCAAAAATCAAAGAAAAAAGCCCTATACGAGGCCCCAGAAAGTGTACTCCGCCACAAGCTCAACCAGTGCTCAAAACACGGTAACTTTTGCGAGGCCATTCGCCTTTACAATGAGGCAAGGACAAGTAATATTCAACTCAATGTACATCATTATAATGTATTGCTTTATTTATGTTCTCCAAATGATGATGGTAGTAGGCAGGACGAGGATAATTTTGTAGGTTTGGAAAAGGGCTTTGAGATTTTTAAACAGATGCGGTTGGATAAAGTGGAGCCAAATGAAGCTACATTTACCAATGCTTCTAGATTAGCGGCAGCTAAAAAGGACCCAGAAATGGCTTTTGAGTTGGTTAAGGAAATGAAGAATCATGGAATAGTTCCAAAGTTGAGGTCCTATGGGCCGGCATTGTTTGAGTTTTGTGAGAAGGCAATGGCTGATAAGGCGTATGAGGTGGATGCCCATATGGTGGATAACAAAGTCTCAGCCGAAGAGCCTGAGCTTTCAGCACTTTTGAGGGTTAGTTCAGATGTCAAAAGGGAGGAGAAAGTGTATGAGATGGTTCATAGGCTGAGGGCCTCTGTGAGGCAGGTGTCTGAGGAGACTGCAAGTGTGTTGGAGGATTGGTTTAGGTCAGAGACTGCATCAAAGGTTGGAGCAGAGAATTGGAATGTAGAAAAGGTGAAGGAAGCAGTTGTGAAAGGAGGGGGTGGATGGCATGGGCAAGGGTGGTTGAGGAAAGGGAAATGGAGAGTGGTGAGGACCCATATGGATGAGACAGGGGTCTGCCAATTGTGTAGAGAGAAACTTGTTTGTATAGATATCGATCCCATCGAGACACAGAATTTTGCAAATTCTTTGGCAAAATTGGCTAGCGAAAGAGAAGCTAAAGCTGGCTTTTCGCATTTTCAGGTATGGAACTTGTTCATTTTTTTTTTCCTGTTGCTAAGGATGATTTTTATGTGTACATATATATAAAGATTTGGTCTTTGGTACTTGTATAATTTGGGTTCTGTTTAATATATTTGCCTGGTTAGTCATGATTTTGTCATCTGGAATACTGTTTCTTCTATCTTGTTCTAGAATTGAAAATTAGTTATGATAAAATTCTTCTGGCAATTGGCATGTCTTAAACTTCATTGGTAAATCTTGAAACTGCAGTGGAAAAGACTGGTACATTTTCAATTTGGAGAAATTCATATGGTAGACATCGGAACATGAGACTTTTGTCCAAATCAAGCAATCAATCCAAAGGCTTAAAATTGTTTCTTTGAATACAGAATACCTTTTCTATTGTCTTCTACTCTTTCCGGATGGCCTCTAATATATAATGAACATTTTACACCCATTTGATGCCAATAAATAAATTTGGCACTCCTTCAATAATTGAATGGTATGGTTTTACAGACACGTTTTTTAGGCTAGAGTTGAAAAGTTGATTTTTGATATGACATTTTATTTTTCTGCTCAGAACAGATGGCCGAGATTCGTTGTTGTCAAACCATGTCTTTGAAGTAAAGGGCAGATTCAGTTACTCTTTTTGAGAATTAAACACTATTTTTGAACATCCAGAGACGCAAATTGAAGTATTCAATAATAATAAATGGAGTGTGCGTTTTTGCATGTGTGTACATTTATTTGTGGAAGCAGACTAGCTTGATAAATTCAGCTGCATTATCTGTAGGAAAGAATTGTGATGGTGCTCACTTATTGAAATATCATGGGAACAAAGGACAAGAAAATCATTGAGAATTTTGAGTATTGTTTACAGCCAAATTTTAGCAAAACTGAGGGTAGATATATAGACTTTCTAACTGCTGTAACAAAGGGATGCATGTTACAGAGCCACGTGCATAAAGCTGGACAATGATATTGTAAGTTGTTGCAATCTGAAGCTTTAAAAAAATCATTTTGACATCAGAATCATGTCCGGCATATTTTGTTTATAGCAACTGTTTTCATCAGAAAGTCATGCCTGCAATTGTGACTGCATTAATTGGAAATGCATTTATAGTATTGGTCAGTGCAATATCATTTTAATGCTTCAGGCGTTTCATATTAAAAAGAGATTGTCAGTCTAAAGCAAATGGTTTCCTCTTTCAGGAATGGATTCAACGTCATGGTCCATTTGATGCAGTAGTAGATGGTGCTAATGTGGGCCTTATTAATCGGCATAATTTCAGTTTTTCCCAGGTATTGTTAACTTCGGCTTTCCCTCTCTGTGCTCTGTGAGTAGCATTCTATCCCGTTGAACATTAAATTTAAATAAATAAATATGTCCTCTCTAACCGTTTAAACTCTTATCTTATCAAAAAAAAACCGTTTAAACTCTTAGACGCAGTAGTTCAACATTGTGTTTGAGTAGGCAAAGGTCTTGAGTTCAAGTTTTGTCGCTATCCATTTATGGAAATTTTGCTTATGTTAGGCCTCACGACGAAAATAAATCTTGCTTAGAGGCAATTTTGAAGGCTAAATATAAATAAATAAATGTGTCCCCTTGCGAATGGTTTAAGCTTTTAGATGAGATGGTTCAACGTCTCCCATTCATCTTTTTCTGTCTCTTCCACCCTGTATCTCTCGTTTTGCTCCCTTGGGGAAGGGTAGACGGGGATGAAAATTGAAATCAAAGAAAGTAGATTAAAGTTATGACTACTGTATCTTTGGTAATCTTTAAACTTACGTGTACAAGAAACTTTTATTGGTTACCTTTCTTTGTAGCTCAAGCATGTTGTGTATCACTTGCGTAAACTGAGCCCTTCAGGGAAACTGCCTCTTGTTATTCTGCATAAAGGCCGTGTAACTGGTGGTCCTGCACAGCACCCTAACAACAAGAAGTTATTGGAAAGTTGGAAGAAGGCTGGGTCACTTTATGTTACCCCTCCTGGTTCGAATGATGATTGGTACTTGTACTTTATTCATACACCTAATTAGATTTGTTCTTTAAATGCTTAAATATTTCCTGCCTTCTTTTTTTTTTTTTTTATTTGTTTAGATTTTCTGCATCTTTTTTTCCTGTGGTCCCTTTGACACCTTTTGTTCCTTGCTCTTCTCTTGGTTGCTTATATGTCATTTAGAACCTCTAAATTTTTAGCTATGAAGTGTGAATTGCAGTCAAACTATGCAACCTATGTTTTTCCATTCTGTTTCCCCAGGTATTGGTTGTATGCTGCTGTTAGCTCCGAGTGTTTGCTGGTGACAAATGATGAGATGAGAGACCACTTGTTCCAACTGCTAGGCAATAGTTTTTTCCCAAGATGGAAAGAAAAGCATCAGGTATCATTGTTTTGTTTATATTTGAACTTAATCGCCTGATAAGAGAAGATTCATTAGTAATAATGGTATTCTACTTCGTTGCTGCACTTTGATTATTGATTCTTGTAGCAATAGGATTAAATGATGCTTAATGTTTGCCTGTGAGTTGTGAAAATGTCACGTAGAGTGTGTGACGCTGTTGGATGGATCTAAATGGATACAACAGTAAATGATATTGGGACGCCATAATTCTTAAAAATGTTGAACAGAATGCAATGAGGACATGATATTTGTAAAGTAGATAAATCCAATGTCCGACTTTATTGAGTTGAGTGTGTAGGTATTGTTTTGGCACATCTTTATCTGTGGATAGACATTTCTTTTGTACAATGTTATACAGTTCAGATGGGGCACTCTAAATACATTTACAACATTTGTTGTTCTCTTGAATGTTGGCAAGTGTTCCTAAGCACCAGGTGACTTGGCATACTACAAATGGTGCTAAATAATCCAGTGTCAAGCACGTTAAATCATTGATAAATTTGGCATCTTGTTCGTGTCTATCATCGACACATCATGTTTCAGGTCTACACTCATGTTACTTGGGATGGGTTGCATCAAAGTAAGAAATACAAACAGTTTGTATACTTACACGGTCTATAATGCACTGAAGGCACTAGTTCAAAAACGTTTATGCAATGTAGATTTGTACTTGTGGATTTGAAATCCTCATTTCCAACTCCTCCAATCAATTGGGGCCCTAAAAGTGGTTTCATAGATGAAAATGTTCATCTTTTCATTCTTGTGATTCTACTGAAAATTGGCAGGTCCGATTAACACCTTCCATTGATGGACTCCAGTTCCGCATGCCTCCACCTTATTCAATTGTCATTCAGGTTAGTGACGTAACAATAATGTTACATTTGTAAAACAAACTTTGGCATTTTGATGACGTCTTGTGTCTGAATTCTCATTTATGCTTTACAAAACTCATATGTAATGCAGGAGTCTGAACAAGGCAGTTGGCACATTCCAACTGTAACCGGAGACGATCTTGAGAACCCAAGACAATGGATTTGTGCCACAAGATTAAGGGACCTGAACTGAGACAGATAATTTTCTACTTTTAAACTTCATACAGAGGATTAGATAAGCAAGGTGTAGCCTGGGGAAAGTAATCTGGTCGATTGAGGATTTGTGTACTGAAAAAAGGACATCTGCATTTCCAAGTCATGAGTTGTAAAATCACGTTATTACTTGTTTTTTGTAGAGACATTCTTGGAGTATCCTCCATAGTGGAAGCATAAATTTCCATTTTTTAAACATAAGTGGGAACAATAATGGGTTTTTAAGGTGAAGCTGAAATTTGGAAGGGAGGCAGAATGAAGCCCTCCCCCACTCCCCGAAACCAACATAAATTATGCATGTCGTGGTGTTATCTTGTTTTGAAGTGGCGGAGAGTTACACACTTAGTACACATTACTGGACGTACTTTAATGCTTCGAATACCATGTTACAATTCCTAGTCCCTACCAACGGTATATTCGTAACGCATTGAACTTATTATTTTTCTTTTCTAATGTTGTAAAATATCAGCATTCCGTTACTTTTTAATGCTTGGGAAAAAAAATCGAAAACAAAAACTGTATTGATTTTAAAAATGTTGACTGATTCATGAAACGCGATGTAAGTTTGAGATTTGACATCAAAATATTTCCTTGTTTAATATTATGTATTTTATTTTATCTTAAAATTTACATTAAATCATGCATTTATAATCTTACACTTTATCCCTTTTTCTTTTTTTCTTTCTAAGAAACATTTAATAGACTTCAAATGAGCAATTGCAGAGTAAAAAAAAAAAAAAAAAATCAAAAGAAAAGAAAATGAGCAATTGAAATAATTTTCCCTTAAAGAACAAGTAAAAAGAAATTCAAACATAATAATCTTACACCATATAATTCCCTCATTGACACTAAGCTAGTGTTTGGCTCCCATTAATTTTTTTTTAATTCTCTTTCTTAATTTTAATCACACATTCTTCAAATAAAATAACATTACACACAAATCTAAATTTTTTTATTACTTTTCAACCACGCATTCTTCCATCAATCACTATTCAAAATTTATAATTTCCCCATAGTGGGGGCCAAACACATGCTAAGCCTTCGTCTAACAGAAATTTTAATCTAGATTTTTATCAAAATCGAAATCAATAATTAATTGTAATAACATATTTTGTGGTTTCACAACTTTTCAATCGCATATTTCATTAATTTTTGTCAAATTTTGCTAATTAATCTCCATCAAGTAGCGTAACAGCTTCTTACAATTGACAATTCACAAATATATCTTTAAAAAAATGACCAACCAACAACCGACTAACGTGCTCTTCTCAAGATTCACTTGAAACAAATCGTTTATATTATTTTGGATTTTGTTACTTGTACATAAAAAAACATATATAATGGATTAAATAATATGATTTGGAAGAAAAAGTTGATTGTGTTTTAAACTGGCAAATTGTAGAGTTTCATGTGGAATTATGTAAATCTTAATGTACATGTAGTAAGATCCTATTATTTTCCCTTCTTTTTATTTACGTAGCCATGCTGTAGATTTTGATACATTGATTTACACCTTAGTTTACACTCATGCGTGTTAGCAGATTTGGATACATTGATTTTAAAAATATCTTTTGTAATCAATTGTTAGATTTTTGACATACAAAGTGTCAATCAAAGTGTACACATTTGGATGTACAAGTAATCTTATTTTTATAAAAAAGTTATATTTGAAAAGTTGAATAACAATGAAATCCGAATTATTAGAAGATACTATTTTTTCCTTCTATGAACATTTCTCTTTATTCTTCACTAGCTAAGCTTTAAATGTTTCTTATAACTAACTATAAACTTTTATAAATAATTTTTTTTTCATAGTTGAGAATAAATTAAAAAAAAAAAAGAAGAAGAAGAAGAGGGTGGGTGGTTCATTTCTACTTGTTTGCTCATTTTATTGAAAGATGAAGCACAAGAAGAAGAAGTTGAAGATATGATTAAATGATTTGACATCCTAGTCATTTATTCCAGCTTCATCAGCACCAAATGCTGACTGTGAAATAAAAGGACCTAGAAGGAATTGTGCTGGAGAGTTGTTGCAGATTGCACATGAATTTTGTTAGAGTGAAAGGATATTCTATTGGCAAATAATCAATCCCACTTGTAACCGTTTTATTCTCTTTGTCTCCCAGCTGAAGTGTATATATATTTGTACTGTAATAAGTTTTCATACATTCAAGAAATCATAGATTAAATTCCCTGCCAATTTTGTGTTTATTTAGCAAACTCTTTATTTCAAAATTTACATGGTATCAGAGACTAATGGCTGAATCACATAATCAATCATCAAATCTTCTACAAAACCTTCAACAAAACATTAACCAAAATGAGAATTCATCAGTTCACGATCCAACTCATTTCAGCAGCCCATATTTCATTGGGAGCAATGATGGCACTGGATCCATCTTGGTCACTCACGTACTGGATGCAAACAACTATCATTCATGGGCAAGATCGATCAAAAGAGCTCTCAGAATAAAGAACAAACTGGGTTTTATTGATGGGAGCATTCAGGAAGCGCAGGAAGCAAATGACACACTGATGGAACATTGGCTCAGGTGTAATGATATTGTAATCACTTGGATGCAAAACACCATGGCTGTAGACATCAAATGCAGCACGACATATGCTGAGACTGCCTATCAATTGTGGAAGGAGCTGGAGCAGCGTTTTGCTCAACAGAACGCCCCCAGAATTTTTGAGATTAAACAGGCAATCACAACTCTAGCACAAAATTAGGATGCTGTAAGTGTGTATTTCTCAAAATTCAAAACTCTACTTGATGAATTGATGAATTATGAGTCCATTTCTAATTGTACTTGTGGAGGTCTGAAGACAGTAATAGAAAATCAGAATCGAGATTGGGTAATGAAATTCCTAATGGGGCTAGATGAGTCTTATAAGGCCATCAAAGCTCAGGTGCTTCTGAACAAACCTTTCCTTTTCCGGAATGAGGTCTATGCTATAATTCAGCAAGAAGAGAAAAAGAGGCAGATCTCAAATGATGGTTCTATAAATGAAACAATGGCATTACTGGCTAGAGATTATAACAGACAGAATTCCCTCTCAGGAAGAAGAGACAGATATTATTGCACCTATTGCAAGGTTGCAGGTCATTCACTTGAAATATGTCTCAAAGATCCTAATAAACCCATTTGTTCACACTGTAAGATGCCAGGCCATATAGCAAGCAAATGCTTCAAGCTACATGGATATCCACCCAATCAGAAAATCGAGGGAAAGGGCAGATATGTATCAGCAGCCAATCAAATCTCCAAAAATCAGGAACAGCAGATCAGCAAGTGAAATGTATCTCTCACTCAAGAGGAATACTCTCACTTGATAGCTCTCCTTAAATCATCAAATCAGAACATAACTCCTTCAGCAAATCAGGTTCAAAGCATTGGTACCTTTGACTCAGGCAATCCCTTTTCAAAAATTTCTGGTATATCACTCTGTTCTTTCACTCTTAATTCTGCAAACTTCAACAATTCTGCTACTCCTTGGATCCTGGATACTAGGGCTACAGATCATATGATCTGTAACCCTTCACATCTTTCCTCAATCAAATCCAAAACTGGTTGCTCAATGAGCTTGCCAAATGGAACCACTGTTCCAGTAACCTGTGTTAGAACTGCATATATCACAGACACATTAGTACTTCATGATGTGCTGTGTGTTCCTTCATTTTCTTTTAATCTCATATCTGTTAAGAAATTAACTCAATCACTAAATAGTTGTGTTGTTTTTCTCCCTAATGCTTGTTTTATACAGGACCTTTCGACTTGGACAACGACTGGAATGGATGAAGCAAAATTTGGCCTGTACCAAGTCCTACCTTTAGCTGTCTCACCTGTGGCTCTTCAGGAATTCTTGAAACACTCAACTTCTCCTTTTACGGGGCCTGCTGTCAATCAGGAAAATGCTTTAGATGTTTGGCACTATAGAATGGGACATCCATCCCATTCTGTTCTTGCTTTAGAAGATAGTATACCTAAGTTAGCTTCTCAAAATAAACTTTGTCCTGTATGTCCTTTGGCTAAATTACATAGGCTTCCATTTCCTATCAGTCATCACAAATTTGAAAATTGTTTTGATTTAATACATTGTGACATTTGGGGACCTTGCAATGAAATTAGCTATGATGGTTCGCGTTATTTTCTGACCATAGTAGATGATCTTTCTAGGTGCACCTGGATATACTTACTGAAATTCAAACCTGAAGCCAGCAGTGCCCTGCAAAGTTTTTACAGATTAATAGAAACTCAATTTCAAAGAAAAATCAAGGTCATAAGAAGTGATAACGGAGGAGAATTTAACATGAAACAATTTTTCCTTGAAAAAGGGATCATTCATCAGAAAACTTGTGTTGAAACCCCTCAACAAAATGCCATTGTTGAGAGGAAACATCAGCATATATTAAATGTTGCAAGGGCCTTAAGATTTCAAAGTAACATTCCTTTAAAATATTGGAGCGATTGTGTGCTAACTGCTGTCTACTTAATAAATAGGACTCCTTCAGTTCTTCTTAATTACAAAAGCCCCTTTGAAATGCTATTTGGAACTAAACATGTGTACTCCCATCTTAAGATTTTTGGTTGCCTTGCTTATTCCACAACTCTGATAAGTGGCATGAGTAAATTTGATTCTAGAGCGAAGAGATGCATTTTCTTAGGACATCCATTCAGTGTCAAGGGTTATAAATTACTTGATTTAGAGTCAAATAAAGTGTTCATATCAAGAAATGTAGTCTTCCATGAAGCCATCTTTCCATACAAAGAAACCAGAGGCACAGATTTACATATTGCACCAGATATTGCTGATTTATGCTTTCCTCAAAATCCTACCATTTCAAACCTAACAAATTTTTATAAACAAGGAGAGGATCAATCAGAACAAAATCTTGTCGAATCCACAGAGCAAAACAACTCCCAAGCTGATGCAACCACACATGAATCAGACCATCCTAAACCTGAAAATAGTCAGACCATACTTCACCTACCTAGAAAATCCACAAGAATTCGAAAACCTCCTACTAGACTGCAAGATTTTGTTTGTCAACGGGCAAGTTTGCTTCCCTCATTACAGACATTGAGCAAAGAGAAATGTTCTGCTCTCTCAGGTATTCTCTATTTCCTTCACTCCACTATATCATATGAAAAATTGTCTACGCCCTATAAAGCTTTTATTTCTTCCATGACTGCACAAATTGAACCAAAAACATATCAAGAAGCTGTTAAATCCCCTGATTGGTGTCAGGCTATGAAAAATGAGATTGTGGCTCTTGAGCTGAACGATACATGGACTATAGTTGATCTGTCACCTAGCAAAAGGGCAATTGGGTGTAAATGGGTCTACAAAGTGAAATTTAATGCTGATGGTAGTGTAGAAAGACACAAAGCTAGGTTGGTGGCAAAGGGTTATACCCAGTTAGAAAGGCTAGACTACCATGAAACCTTTTCACCGATGGCAAAGCTTGTCACTGTTAGGACCTTACTTGCAGTCGTAGCTATAAAGGGATGGCTTCTCTGTCAATTGGATGTGAACAACGCTTTTTTACATGGAGATTTGGAGGAGGAGGTATACATGGAATTACCTCCAGGATATGCTGGTAATCATGGTTCAAAAGTATGTAAGCTTCGCAAGAGTTTATACGGCCTCAAACAGGCTTCGCGACAATGGTACTCAAAGCTATCAAGTTTTATCCTTCAACATGGTTTTACTCAATCAAAGGCTGATTATAGCCTGTTTGTCAAATCTGATCAGGGTTCTTTTATTGCTGTTTTAGTTTATGTTAACGATATAATCATTTCGGGAAATTGTTTGGAAGAAATAGATAATCTCAAAAGAGCACCAGATGCACAATTCAAAATCAAAGACTTGGGAAAGCTGAATTACTTCCTAGGTGTTGAAGTGGCCAGATCGAAACAAGGGATGCGCATTTGCCAAAGAAAGTATGCACTTGATAATCTGGCAGATTCAGGTACAATTGGATCAGCTCTAGCCAAGTTTCCACTTGATCAAAACATCAGATTATCAAGGGAGGAAGGAGATTTACTGCCTGATCCATCTATTTACAGGCGGCTGATTGGACGATTATTGTATTTGACTATCACTAGACCTGATATATCTTATTCAATTTAGCTCATGAGCCAATATATGGATCAGTCAAGAACACCTCACCTCAATACAACACATAAAGTACTAAGATATCTTAAAAGAGCCCTAGGGCAGGGGTTATTCTACCCTTCTAATTCTGAATTGCAACTAAAGGGATATTTGGATTCAGATTCGGAAACTTGTCCTGACAGTAGGAGGTCAGTCACGTGGTATTGTGTATTCATTGGATCATCCTTAGTATCCTGGAAATCGAAGAAACAAAATATAGTGTCAAGATCATCCTCTGAAGCTGAATATAGAGAAATGGCAAGCGTTTGCTGTGAATTGACCTGGTTGAGATACTTATTTAAAGATCTACAAATCAAGCACACTCAGGCAGCTAGCTTGTATGGTGACAATAAATCTGCCATTTACATTGCCACGAACCCCATCTTCCATGAGAGAACCAAACATATAGAAATACCTCATTAGAGATAAGATACAAGCTAGAGAAATAGTTGCTGAACACGTCCACACTGGATCTCAGGTTGTAGACATTTTGACGAAAGCCTTAAATTCTAGAAGCTTTTATCTTCATATGGACAAGATGGGAGTAGCAAATATCTACTCTCCATCTTGCGGGCGGCTATTGAAAGATGAAGCACGAGAAGCAAGAGAAGAAGAAGCTAAAGATATGATTAAATGATTTGGCATCCTAGTCATTTATTCCAGCTTCATCAGCACCAAATGCTGACTGTGAGATAGAAGGACCTAGAAGGAATTGTGCTGGAGAGTTGTTGCAGATTGCACATGAATTTTGTTAGAGTGAAAGGATATTCTTTTGGCAAATAATCAATCCCACTTGTAACCGTTTTATTCTCTTTGTCTCCCAGCTGAAGTGTATATATATTTGTATTTAGCAAACTCTTTATTTCAAAATTTACACATTTCTCTTTGCACTTCATAAACACGACGTTGGCCGAATAATAACGAACAATTAATTACTGTATCAAATATGTTCTCCCTAGTTCTGGACATGATTTGTGTTGTATTGATTTTGGGTCCAACCTGGTCGATTTGGGTAAATTTCAACTCAAAACCATCCTATACATATGGATAGTTTATCAATAAACAATTACACCAAAACGAAAGTAAGTTACAATCTGAATTTTGAATTTACAACAAATAATTCTTCTCGCTTTTCTTTTCATTTAGAATTTGAAGATTTGACAGAAGAAGTGTAGACAATGGTGAAACTATTTGAGAAATAATTATGTTTGTGTTTTTATTACTTCATTTTCAAATTTTTTAAGTTTTAAAATCTGAATTTTAAAATATTAAAAATGTATCAGCCAGTTGGATTGATTAATTGAAGGGTTGCAATTCTTCCAATATATTAGTGCATGAAAGTAATTACTTTTTCCTTCGCAGAATGTGGGAACAAATAGATTTTTTGTTTGTCTGCTTAACATACAGGATGCACCCATGCACGCATGGCCCTCAGTATCTTTCTGTCAATAGTAATACTTATATAATTCTATGGACTACAATATACAGGTTGGCTCTGGATCTAGGAAACAGTTATCTATGGCTCAGATTCTCGATAGAATCCGTGCCATCTCAGGGTATTCAGGTAGGTTGATAATTGTTAACTTTTTTCAAGGAATAATCAGTGAAGGAGGTAATGTGGAGTTTGAAAACCATTGCAATTTTCTGTTAAGAACCTCAACTTTTGGAATATTAGCATCAAATTATGAGTTACGAAGGGATTTAGTTTTTCATGTCCAATATATTATCAATGTGCATGCACATATGCATGCGAACATAAAAGGATTGTTCAGTTGTCATGCATCCCTATCTGCTTGTGTTTGTTATTTACAATTTCATTTGTGTGAATGCATTAAAATATTAATGACAAATAGAAAAACATTTTTGATTCTCTAAGGTCAACTCAACAGAGTTTTCCTTCGTAAATATTGTAGGTTTATATAGTGGAATTGGTTGGTCGATTACTGGTAGAGCATTGGGCTTGGGAGTTCGCTTTGGTGTTTATGAGATATTGACAGCATTCTACAAAGGTAAACTGTCCTTTATTTTTGTGCATTTTTTGGGTTTATTTTTGGCCTTTCTTTATGAGCTCCTGCTTTCCAGTTAGTCCTGTGCAAGGTGCAGCACTTTATTGTTATGATAAAGTCACTAGTGAAATTGTGTATGATATGAAGATGTTTTCAATCAAGAAATGGCTATTTACTGAAAGATGTGGAGTGGGTGATGAGATTAAGAATAAGTCTTAGACAAAGACTTGTAAGGAAGATTGACCTGATACTTATCTTTATTTTTCACCCAAAAAGTATCTAGTTGGAAAGAGCCATTTCATCATTGTCGGCTCAAAACAAACCTGATTGTGGAAAGTGAAAGGGAGGTTCAGCAATTTACAGTGTTTGGGTACAATCTTTCTCGAGCGTAAAAGTCTAAGCTTCTGTCTACAAATAATCATCATTTTCTGCAAGTGATCCTAGTTATATCATTATTGTTATTCTAATTCCACCTACAATTGAACAAAATAAAGAATTAGGTTATGGAATTAACAAAGAAGAGAAATCAAAATTGAAGAACAATAAGAACAGTAAAATTTCCCTTTTCTTTAGGCTCAGAAAATCTGATCCGCCACCACAAAGGCAACACCAAATCCGGAGAAATACAAAGGGCACACCAAGGCAGTAGGCACGAAGGGGAGAAGCTGGACTGAAGAAAATTGCACAAAGCAAGAAGAGGTTTTAGCACAAAACAGAAACCGTTTTTTGTCTTCTCGAAAGAACAAAGCAAAGAACTTTTTGGTGTATTGAATTGAGGACGAGGGGTTTCAATTTATAGGCAAGGAGTTGAACCAATTTCCTAGATTTTTCTCTCCACTGATAGACATCACGAGAACTTACCAAAAGATAATGATAAGTTTACAAATTGAAGGAAGGAAGAGATAAACCCTTATCAATAACTCCAATAAGTTGGGTATTGAGCATCTAGCCTAATGGGCTGATTTCCTCTATATACCCAACAATATTTGGGCTACATCGTTTGTGGTGTGGACTTTAATTATTCTTCAATCCTGGGCTTGTAGCCTATGAAGTTAAACGGGCCACTGTTTTTCATCATCGCCTAGGGATTATTTGGGCATTACAAAAAATACCCAACGAGTATGGAGTTTGCATGGTTATTTGTGACTCTAGGGCTGCCAGAATTATCCCTTGAGGAATAAGCAAGCATTTGCCATGTACATATAAGTAGACATGTTAAAATGATTTGCACCAATATTTAAGATTTCCGGAGAAGTATCCTTCAGCATTTATTCATCGTTTACTTGTTTTACCAGTGGAGAGAAAAGATTAATGTGGCCAATCCCAAATTTGATCGTGAGTAAGGCTTAATTTGTTGATGTTGTTTACATATTTTGTCACTTGCTAGTTGAAATAGAAACAAAATTAATTTTGTTAGGAAAAAAAAAATTGAAATGATTTGGACACTGAAAAAAATGCAGCAAACTGAGTCGAGCACTGTAAAAATAATGGAAGTAGTTTCTAATGAAGCATAGGACTTGAAATTTGTTGTGTATGAAGGACAAAATTGATCATGATGTTAGATAAGTGTGCGAAGATCAACTGAACGTGCTTGTTGGTATTCGATAGTGGCTATTGAAGCTTGTCTGTAACTGGATGCTGCAGAGGCTGGTTTTGACTTCAAGAAGCACGCACGTGCTCTTCTCTAATGTACTTATGTTTGTTAGAAAGAAACAGATGATATCTTAATGTTGTGGAATGATGGTCTGCCACTTCATGCTTCTGTTTTTTTAAGCACTCATTGGTCCATACTAAACTAATGAATTGCTCTCGCTTATTCCTTATCAGACGGCCGTGAAGACAACTATGTGCATGTCTCTAAAGCTCTAATGGCAGGATTTGCTGCTTGCAGTGTGGAGTCTCTTGTAAGCTCTCCATTTGAACTTATTAAACTCTGTGCCCAGGTGGCTTCTGCTTCGCGCATTCCCCGCCATCCATCCATTGCTGAAATGAATGCTGTTCCTCCTTTAATTTCGAGATTACTGCCCGGATATTCACTGGACATGAAGGCAATAAGTAACTCGGTCGGTCTTTTGTCCACCTTGATAACTAAACATGCCAATACAATAGATTCATTAAAAGAATATCGATGGATGATGACAGAATCTGGGAGGCCTCCATCTGACAGTAATGTTTGAAGGCCAGTAGATGTGTTGTCAGTTTGGAAGGATGGGGTGCTCTATGGAGAGGCCTTAGACCTGGATTAGTCCGAGATTCCATTTTTGGTGGCATATTTTTTTCTAGCTGGCAATTTTTTCACAGAGCGATGCTGGAATGGAAAGCAGTTGGAATGGATCCCATACCCAGGTTTTTCATTCGTCGGTCTTTATTCAAGATGTTACTGTTGACTCAACTCAGATTTAGCAGGAAAGAGTACCTCAGTACAATTTGATTTTATTCATGGTGCACTTAAAATTTTGGAACGTGAAATGTCCTGCATAAATCAATAAGTCATAACTGTCAAGACAAATGGCTAAGTTCCAGAGAAGAAATTTTGTCTGATAAGACAAAATTCTTCTGTTTGTTTATTGATAGTTCTTAACAGACAAAAATAACTCAATGTAAGACGATGTTCTTCTAGTGATTTGCAGATCATAGTTACCTGTAGCTCACAATTCCTTGCTGTACTCGATCACATGAAACGAAGTGATTCGAGTATGGGAAAAAGAAGATTTTGCCTCGTATAATTCCCTCAAGGAACAATATAGTGTCTCCTCGAGCCGTCTACCCTAACATCTGACACATTACGTATTATGAAAATAACCATTTCCATCAAATCTCAACATTTCGAGAACCAGGCCATCCAGATTCAGTTCTTTTGGGTTTATAGTGTACTTTCTTCAATTCTGTTTTAACTCTAGCACGAAAGCTTTGGTTAGTGGAAGTGGAAGATAATAGCAACTCTATTGAAGCCAAAAGGCAGTAAGGTTTATAAAATGATAAAATATAATTATATTGCCTCCATTTTTTTGTGCAAGTTTACAGCTATTGCAGTTCGTGACTTGTATGACCTGTTTATGAATTTCTTAGAAGATAAGTGCAAATTGAATTTAAAAGGTCAGCTTGATTGCCTTATTTTTTATTTACGTAATTGTAAACTTGTCTTCAGTTTCGATGAAGAAATTGGTCCATTGTCTCCGGTAGCTGTTAGTCTAGCAGCTGGAGTTTCTGGTTTAGTAGCTGCAGCTGCCTGTGATAGTTTAGACACTGCCAAAAGTCGATCACAATGCATTGTGCTCCCTAAGGTATGGTGCCATACCAAGAGAAGAATTTGGTCCACGAGTAATTTTGGTTTATGAAGTAAACTTCAAACCTATGTGATTCTTCAATGATTCTTTGGGTTATCGGTTCTTAGTGAATGACAACGTTTGACATTTTCATTTACAATGACAGTATGACGTGTTTTTGTGAAAATCTATGACTATGACAGTTGTTATGAATTTTATATTTTCCTTGAATTCCTTTTTGCCTGCAGCTATATATACATGGTCATTGCCTCTTTCGTAACACAATCACTTTTGAATTTTTTTTTCTTCAGTTTGTATCCATGGAGAGAAAATACCTCAGATGGAATAGACCAGGAAAGAGATTTGAGAGACTTACCGGCATCCACCCTGCAGATAGGAATTTTCTGATGAACGGAATATGGTTGCGGATGTTGTAGGAACCTACTTCTTGGCAGTAGATCACCTGGTTGCGCAATGAATATTTTTAACTAGCTTTATTTTTTCATATGATCGTTTCTGACAATTCATATTTGTGTCTTCTTTCTTGTATTAGTAGCAGGAAATCCTCGAGTGCTGCTGCTGGTTCAGTTATACAATTTATCTTCTTGAAGAGTACATCTTTTTTTTGGGTAATGCCCAATCACGAGCGTCCCCCACCATCCCTGCCCTGAGCCTCTATGGAAGAGATAAGTTGCAGGATATGTAACGCAGAGTCAAGAATCGAACCAGTGACCATGCGGTAGTACCGCATTCACTAAGGCTGCCTCTTGTTAGTGTGCAAGTTAAGATTAGCTAGAAAATTAAGTTTTGTAAGTAAAAAATAATTTTCAAAATCATGATGGGTGAATAAGTTTTGACTTACAAGATATGTATTAGATTCTGCCACTTCAAATTTTGCACTCTCTTTTGACCATGTGGTACCTTAAAACTATTATACATATTGGAGAATGCACATCAGCCTTTGTAAGCTAAATTTTGACCAAGTTATCTCGGTTTATTTTGTTCTTTCTGAGTATTAGAGCTTTTCAAAAGACAAAGGATAAAGTTGTTTGTACACCAGATGTACGTACATTTGTCTCACATAAATAGTGTGCACGAATATTTTATTGTGTGTGGGACCCCCCCTCCATGTGAGAGGGGTGTAAAAGATTGTGTGAATGATTATGTACATGTAGTATGATTGAAAGACAAATGCCTGAAACGGGAAAAAATGAACTCCCTGTTTTAGAGTCATTCGTTTACTATTGATTCCAAACAAAGGCTTAGTTATGAAGGTATATTTTTAATTACACCATATAAATGAATTCCATATAAAAATGACAACACGACGGGACAAGGTCATGGCGGCCATTAGATTCCTAGGGGTTAAAAATTCAAAAAGGCCATTGAACTTTGTAACACATTCTTCTCTTCCCATTAAACTTCAAAAAAATTTCGGATATCTATCAAACTTATCAAATCATTATTTCATTGATCATTAAACTTTAAAAGTTTTTTGAATGGTCAACGAACTTATCAAATCTTGACCATTAAACTTTAAAAAAAATTTGAGTGGTCAACGAACTTAATAAATATTTATTTCATTTTCTATTAACCTTTAAAAGTTATTTCGGATAGTTGTCGAATTTATCAAATCATTCTCTCATTATTCACTCAATAACTCACCATTAGAAAATTCTACGGACTCACTAACCTAGAAAGATGCAGAAAATGAAAACACTAATGTGGAAAATTATCGTCGTTAGTTGACAACAAATCAACCAAAACCACACTTCCATCTATTAACTTACTCCAAAATCAAGTTTACTTTTCAACAGATGGATGATGACAGGATCTGGGAGGCCTCCACCTGACAGTAATGTTTGAAGGCCAGCAGATGTCGTCAGTTTGGAAGGATGGGGGGCTCTATGGAGAGGCCTTAGACCTGGATTAGTCCGAGATTCCATTTTTGGTGGCATATTTTTTTCAAGCTGGCAATTTTTTCACAGAGCGATGCTGGAATGGAAAGCAGTTGGAATGGATCCCATACCCAGGTTTTTCATTCGTCGGTCTTTATTCAAGATGTTACTGTTGAATCAACTCAGATTTAGCAGGAAAGAGTACCTCAGTACAATTTGATTTTATTCATGGTGCACTTAAATTTTGGAACGTGAAATGTCCTGCATAAATCAATAAGTCATAACTGTCAAGACAAATGACTAGGTTCCAGAGAAGAAATTTTGTCTGATGAGACAAAATTCTTCTGTTTGTTTATTGATAGTTCTTAACAGACAAAAATAACTCAATGTAAGACGATGTTCTTCTATTGATTTGCAGATCGTGGTTACCTGTAGCTCACAATTCCTTGCTGTACTCGATCACATGAAACGAAGTGATTCGAGTATGGGAAAAAGAAGATTTTGCCTTGTATAATTCCCTCAAGGAACAATATAGTGTCTCCTCGAGCCGTCTACCCTAACATCTGACACATTACGTATTATGAAAATAACCATTTCCATTCCCATTCACGATCATCAAATCTCAACATTTCGAGAACCAGGCCATCCAGATTCAGTTCTTTTGGGTTTATAGTGTAATTTCTTCAATTCTGTTTTAACTCTAGCACGAAAGCTTTGGTTAGTGGAAGTGGAAGATAATAGCAACTCTATTGAAGCCAAAAGGCAGTAAGATTTATGAAATGATAAAATATAATTATATTGCCTCCATTTTTTTGTGCAAGGTTACAGTTCTTGCAGTTCGTGACTTGTATGACCTGTTTATGAATTTCTTAGAAGATAAGTGCAAATTGAATTTAAAAGGTCAGCTTGATTGCCTTATTTTTTATTTACGTAATAGTAAAATTGTCTTCAGGTTCGATGAAGAAATTGGTCCATTGTCTCCGGTAGCTGGTAGTCTAGCAGCTGGAGTTTCTGGTTTAGTAGCTGCAGCTGCCTCTCATAGTTTAGACACTGCCAAAAGTCGATCACAATGCATTGTGCTCCCTAAGGTATGGTGCCATACCAAGAGAGGAATTTGGTCCACGAGTAATTTTGGTTTATGAAGTAAACTTCAAACCTATGTGATTCTTCAATGATTCTTTGGGTTATCGGTTCTTAGTGAATGACAACGTTTGACATTTTCATTCACAATGACAGTATGACGTGTTTTGTGAAAATCTATGACAATGACATTTGTTATGAATTTTATATTTTCCTTGAATTCCTTTTTGCCTGCAGCTATATATACATGGTCATTGCCCCTTTCGTAACACAATCACTTTTGAATTTTTTTTTCTTCAGTTTGTATCCATGGAGAGAAAATACCTCAGATGGAATAGACGAGGAAAGAGATTTGAGAGACTTACCGGCATCCACCCTGCAGATAGGAATTTTCTGATGAACGGAATATGGTTGCGGATGTTGTAGGAACTTACTTCTTGGCAGTTGATCACCTGGTTGCGCAATGAATTTTTTTAACTAGCTTTATTTTTTCATATGATCGTTTCTGACAATTCATATTTGTGTCTTCTTTCTTGTATTAGTAGCAGGAAATCCTCGAGTGCTGCTGCTGGTTCAGTTATAAAATTTGTCTTCTTGAAGAGTACATCTTTTTTTTTTTTTTGGTAACGCCCCATCACGAGCGTCCCCCACCATCCCTGCCCTGGGACCCTATGGAGGAGATAAGTCGCAAGATATGTAACGCACAGCCAGGAATCGAACCAGTGACCATGCGGTAGTTCCGCATTCACTAAGGCCGCCTCTTGTTAGTGTGCAAGTTAAGATTAGCTAGAAAATTAAGTTTTGTAAGTAAAAAATAATTTTCAAAATCATGATGGGTGAATAAGTTTTTGACTTAAAGATATGTATCAGATTCTGTCAAGTCTTCAAATTTTGCACTCTCTTTTGACTATGTGGTACCTTAAAACTATTATACATATTGGAGAATGCACATCAGCCTTTGTAAGCTAAATTTTGACCAAATTATCTCGGTTTATTTTGTTCTTTCTGAGTATTAGAGCTTTTCAAAAGACAAAGGATAAAGTTGTTTGTACACCAGGTGTACGTACACCCGTCTCACATAAATAGTGTGCGCGAATATTTTATTGTATGTGAGACCCCCCTCCATATGAGGGGAATGTAAAAGATTGTATGAATGATTATGTACATGTAGCATGATTGAAAGACAAATACCTGAAACAGGAAAAAATGAACTCCCTGTTTTAGAGTCATTCGTTTACTATTGATTGCCAAACAAAGGCTTAGTTATGAAGGTATATTTTTAATTACACCATATTAATGAATTCCATATAAAATTGACAACACGACGGGACAAGTTCATGGCGGCCATTAGATTCCTTGGGGTTAAAAATTCAAAAGGCCATTGAACTTTGTGACACATTCTTCACTTGCCATTAAACTTTAAAAGTTTCAGATAATTATCAAACTTATCAAATCATTATTTCATTGATCATAAAACTTTAAACGTTTTTCGAATGGCAACAGATTTATCAATTTTTGACCATTAAACTTTAAAAAAAATTCGAGAGGTCAACGAACTAAATAAATCTTTATTTATCACCATTAGAAAATTCTACGGACTTGCTAACCTAGAAAGATGCAGAAAATGAAAACACTAATGTGGAAAATTATTGTCGTTAGTTGACAACAAATCGACCAAAACCACACTTCCATCTATTAAAATCACTTATAAAATACGATTGAATTTTAACCTTTGTTTTTTCTTTTGTTTATCTGTAATTTCATTTAGTATTATTTTTATTACATTTTCTAGGTATTTCTATAAGCATATTTTTGGTTGATTTTTCATCAGCTAATGACAATTTCATTTGTCAAGTTAGTGAGTCCGTCAATTCTCTCTCAATGATGAATGGAATAACAATTGATAAGTTCGGTAATCATTTGAAAAAAAATTAAAAATTTAATGGTCAATAAGATAACAATTCGATAAGTGAATTGACCAACCAAAAAACTTTCGAAAATTTAATGACCAGTGAAAAACATGAAACAAAGTTCAAGGGCCATTTAACTCCATCCCCGTTTTGCAGGGCTAACAATATTTAAAAAACTATCGTTTACTACCCCCATTTGATTGTTATTTATTTTTCAAATGCGACTTAAATTGAAAAATATAAAAATAAATTATAATATAATAGAAAATTAGGAGCTGAATTCAGAAAAATTGGGGGGGGGGATCATGTCCCCATCCCCAACCCGTTTACCATTCGAGGCAGGGCAAGAACGAGGAATTTGGCTTGAAGAATATTTTAGAAATAGGACTTTATGAGACTCAAATTATTATAGCAATGAATTGTGGCGTCAGGATGTACCTCACTCTAGATCTCTAATGTTGTTAGTTACTTGTTTGCTCGAATGCACAAACGCACTTGACATGGCTATGGTAACTCTCCTATTACACTTGACGATCAATTTAGAATGTGCTCTCGACTGTACACTGTTTTCTTTCACATCCAAGAGTATAACAAACAATTCCCAGTATTTGATCAAACAATGTAGTTTTACAAGTAGCAGCACACATTGCAACAACATAAGAGACTCCATTAGACAATTTCACACCCAATTTTCTATTCACAATTATAAAAAATAAGCTGCACGAAGGCAATAGCAAGTTTCTTTGGTATGTACAACAAAGTTGCCAAATGTTAGTGTTCAAGACGCGTTCGTGTTGCAGATAAAAGAAAAGGGCTAAATTCAGAGGACCTTCAGTACTGCTTTGCTCGAAGTATGCACTCCCATTGCAGCAAGTCTCAGAGCAGCTCGACTCTTGTACAAACTGCAAAGTGAAAGATCCAGTAAGCACGTCATCACATCATGAAGCCGGAAAACTTGGATTCCCATAAGGTAACTGTCTCAATTTTCATATCAATTCCAGTCACATCAAATGTAATAACTCAAATGATCAAAATTTAACAGAACTTGAATGTCAGATTTGATAACCAAGAACTAACAGCTTGATACTCGAGGAATTACTGAGGGTAACAAATTTCAAAAAATGTAAATATGAACATGTCAAATTCAAACTAATAAGTGACAGAAGGATCTCATTTTTTAGTCAGGACACCGTTCCATGCTCCACGCATGTTTTCTTTCTTCTTCATCATTTTTTATCCTCGGATTTTCTTCATTGACACTGTTATCTTAACTAGTAGCTCTTTAATGACCTCTACTAAACAAGTTTTTATATTTTATTAATGCATAACACATTTAGGGCCTGTTTGGTACAGATTTTCATTTTCTACAGAAAATCAATTCTCATTTTCAACCACACATTTTTCAATAAAATAATATTTTCCATCACATCAATAATTTTTTCTTCTTTTTCAACCATACATTTCCCATCATATCACTGTTCAATCCATGACATCAATACTTTTTTCTTCTTTTTCAACCACACATTTCCCATCATATCACTATTCAAAAATCAATTCTTCCTCCAAAAATCCCTACCAAACACACTCTTTATAGTGGTTGATATCCAAAAATCTGTTATATTAGGCTATTAGCATTGCGTAGTGTATTAATAAGTTAAGATTTTGTGTTTAGTAACTGTTGGCACTTCCATTCCTAGATGAGTAAGTTTTATTGATTTAAGTTAGTTTGAGTGCAACATTTTAACCTTGACAAATAAACCAGTATATTATAGTCAAGAACTTACCCCGTTATAGCAAGTCCCCACATGCCCAGTGTATAAAACATCATCCCAGCGTGCCAAATGTTTAATGCCTTCTCCACCTTATTTATGCCTCCCAATGCTTTAGTCAGGGCTACAGGTACATATTTCGGGTGAGATTGCAACTAGTTAATGGAATACAAATCACACAAAACAGATGCAACAGTTGATGAAAGGAAAAACTAGCTTGAAGAAAATGAAGTTCCCAATTTGGGCTGGGGTTGTGAGGTTTCCATGTGTGAGGGTTGGGGGCTTCTACACAATTTCTGAGGGCAAACCAGTAACGAGTCTTTGCCTATGTTTGGCTCATGTTTATAAACATTAAAACCATTTTATATCCACACATTTCATAAGACTCATGGTACTACTCACCTATTCACCACTCATTTCTATCCATTTTTATCAGAAAAACCGTTTATAAACACTCACCAAACGTGCTTTTTATCCTCTCACTGATCCAATCATCCAAGAGATACATAACAAGGTATCTGATTAAGCAAAGCAAAGCATACTTTTGTCCATTGTTTATTTAAACGTGTCAGATAAAGAAAAGCGAAAACTGTAAACAGAAAAATTTTAATTTGCTTTACAAGTCACTGAGACATTGATTTCGAATAGATCTTCCTGCAGCCTGCTGCACCAAAATGCTTTAAGCCAGAAAATGTAATTCTCTTTCTACAATTGGTAAATACTTCTCCGATGAAAAATCTTCACTATAATTTACCTGAATCCCCTCTTTACAGCAAAGAATCAATAGTTTGCTAGCTTGGAAAAGTTTGATGTATAAAATTGTAGCATGTTTAAAATCATATAACTGAAAATTCAGGAACAGGCATTGTAGTGTTAAGAGTATATAAATGGTACGCTAGTTGAGTTCATGCTTTATCAGGTTAGAACTTCTAAGTCGTAACCCTTCATCTTTTAACCTGGTGCATTATTCGGAATAGATTTGATAGAGCAAAAGATTGAACTTTACAATCTATTACTTAATTTCTTGATATTTGCTCTTTCTGGACTCCATGATTTTATCCTTCCTGTGTTGCACCATGTTGTTAATAAGACATAATCAAAGATAACAAAATCTAACAACTATTGAAAACCAAAACTACATTTCTAGGCATCACAGACTACTTTTGAATTGAACAAGAATGCGTTCGATAAACTGTTTATAGAAGTTACACGACACAACCTTTTGAGAAGTATAGTTATCCCACCAAATATTCAATTCATCTATATCATATTTGCCATCATTATTTCAGTCTCACATAAATTTTAACACCCTTTGCTATTTCATCATATCATCATTTTTATACATAGCACAGTATTCAGTCATAACAATCATTTAAATAGCTTTAAGTATACAATAAGACGTTGGGATATATAAGCATCTGTTTGGGAAGAATTTATAAATTGATTAATTTATAAATAGATAAAAATGAGAGGCGGATAAGTGGATAGTACTTGTGGGACCACTGGAATATGTGGTTGAAAACGAAGTATAACAATTTATAAATGATTATATTTTTTTCCAAAAGGAGGCTAAATCAGCAACAAGGTTTTCTCATCAAGGGACAATCTATATCATCTGTCCCATTTTGACATGTTCCATCTCCTCCTCAAAATCCTCATTCAAAAACTTGGCATCATTTTATATTTCAGATATTGAGGTACACTGTTTTTCTTTCCAAAACGTAGAGCAAATAGGTCGTTCATATTGTGTGATGTAACAAAATAAATTACCCTAATCAGGCCATCAAGCTGTTCTGGTAACACAGGATATTTTTTTGAATAGGTCCACTGCTTCTTGAGTCGATATTATCCTTAAAAAGTCCATATCAATATATCCGTCTTAATTGAGAAGATATTGTTACAGCACAAATATGTAGTAGCACAAGTACGTCTATAAGTAATCCAGTTAGGTTCGTGCTTTGTCAGGTTAGAACTTGTAAGTTGTAGCCCTCTTCTCTTAAATTGGTGCATTATTCAAGATAGGTATAATAAAGCAAAAGGATAAACTTTAAAATCTTTTAATTAATTCTTGATCTTTGCTCTTTCTGGACCCTAATGCTGTTGACAAGACGTATTCAAAGATAACAATCTAACAACTAATAAAAACCATAACTACACTTTCTAAGGGTTCAAGGACTGGTTTTGAAAAGCACATGCATGTTCACCTAGGATATGAGACTTCGGGGGAGAGAGAGAGAGATTAGAAGGAGAATTATAAATTTATTCAACAATTATGCTCAAGCCCTCTTTCTTTTACAGAAATTACACAAGGCACCCTTTTGAGAAGTATGGTTATCCAATCAAATCTTCAATTCAGTTATCTCATATTAGGCCTCTGTTTCGGAGCCATTCTCTATCCAATTTGTAGAAAATTTATAGCCACTGCACAGTGTACGTGTCAGGGAAGGGAAGGGCAGAAAGTTTTTGACTAAATGACGGAGAATTACCAATTTGCCCTTATAAAAAATTCAGCCTGAACTAGAGTAATGGCAACCTAGTAAATTGAATCATCTGCCATCATTACTTACTGGACACACGGGTCCCACTGACAATGTCAAACGGTCAAAATTTTCATTTTTTTGGGGCCAAAATGGCTCCCAAACAGAGGCTAGACATCATCAGTTCGGTGTCATGTAAATTTCAATAAACTTCGGCATTTCATTGTATCGTCATTTTTCTAGATCAGCATTGCGTTCCCTTACAACAATCATTGGAATAGTTTTAGGTATACAATAAGATGCTGGGATCAATAAATCAGCAACAAGTTTTTCTAATCAAAGGGGAAATTATATCATCTTTTGCCATTTTAACATATTCCATCTCCTCAAGTTTCTCATTCAAAAACTAAGCTAATACATATACTATTTTTCTTTCCAAAACCTAGGGCAAACGGGTTGTTCACATTGTCTAGTATAACAAAATAAATGACCCTCACCAGGTCATCAAAGTGTTCTCAGTAATGCAGGATTCGTATTTGAACGGATCCATTTTTGTTCATGAGTAGATGTTATCTTTAAAGGTCCGCATCATTTAATCAATATTGGTCAAAAAGATATTGTTACAGCACAAATAGAGAGAAGGGAAAAGAAAAAGGATTGATTGCTCAGCCATTATAAGCAAAGATGAGAGGGGTAGAAGGAGAAAGTTTATTTTCACCTGTTATGTACAGGCTTCAAGAAACGAAGAAATTCCATGATGGCATCAGGAATGTCTGGTAAAACTAGTAAAGAAAGAGAATGAACTGGAGAACATACCTTTCTGCAGCTGCTCAGGAGTCAATTTCTGCATTATTAGATGCACAAGATAATTAGTCATCGACAATTAGCATCAGAACAAATAGAAGCTTCATTATTACTATATAACCTGAGCTTTTGGGTTAGCCACCAAGCATCTAGCCATGAAATTGGCCACCCCATCCACCACTTGCTCCTCGCTCACAACTACATAATTTTCATTATCAATTCCACTTCGCTCTTCAGTATTGCTAGGAACCATGTCCTCGGTGACCCAAACCCACCAACTCGGCTCTTCCTTACCAACATTAATCAAAGTCTCCACTTTCTTCAAATCTTTATCTGATTACATTTACCAAGAGACGAACAGAAACATCAAATATTAATTTTTTAGTTGTTCCAAACTATTACACAATATGTATATGTATATTGCTACACAGAGTTTGAAAAAATTATGGCATCCAAGTGCACGCACTGAATGAAAAGTTACTAGGAAAATCATTCGTCTATTTCCAATGATAGACACCATTTTGGAAAAGTATTTTGCTTCTGCAATTGTACATTGCTCTGGTGTTATTTATATCAAATATAAACATATCAATCAATTAGCCCGTGTATATAAAATTTTGAAGATAAAAATAAATAAATTAACAACCTGAGGGCTCGTTGAATGGAAATTTGCATGCAGCACCCTCCACAGATTTCTGCCGGAGATTCTCTAGTTGATCGACGAAGCTTCCAGAATTCACAACAGCTAAAAGACGCTCGTGCAACTGCAATTAACTCAATAGAGATTTTATACAATTTAAAACAAAAACCACCAACGTCCTCATTAGCTTTTCCCCAGAATTGTAAATAAATAGAAACCACAAGAGAAGAGGGTAAAACTGTAAAATACTGTACATCAGGAGGGCAATTCCGTAATAAAGAAGGTTCTGTGGACATGCTTTGAAAAAGGGTCAGATTTTGTTGAAGTAAATTCCGGAGACGTTGATTTTCGGAGCACAAGGATTCGAATTCCAAATCTTCTTTACCCGGCGGCGATGGCAGAAAAAGAGGCGTTTCTCGGTGGTGGTGTTGGTGGTGGTGGTGGGTTTCTATGGCGGTCCAGGCCACGTCGGCCACCTCCAACACCGTCTTCGCCACCTCCATGGACGCGCGATTCGGCATTATCTTTACGTCTGACGATTGTTTCTTGTGTGTAATTTTTTATGCTGCCTAATGTGTAATCAATAGAATAATTGCCAAAGGCAGCGGATCTAGGTTGTCAATTTCAATTTTCAAGTTAAATAAGAGCCGTATGATACACATTAAAATGAGAGAATGCATTTTTTTGAAGTGATGCGATGGAGAATATGTAGTTGAAAAATAAAGAAAATTTATTGATGTGATGTAAAATATTATTTTATTGAAAAATGTGTGGTTGAAAATGAGTATAAGAATGAGAATGAAAAAAATAATGTGGTCGAAACATGGGCTAAATAAATTTGGATTATCTAAAGATGGAATAGATTAAAGGAGTACTTACAAAAATACCCTTAAAATTAAGGGTATTTTGAAAAATCATATGAAAGGTTTTTAGGAAGTAAAAAATATTGTGTAAAATAAAAAGTGACACAATGTCACTTTTTTTTATAAACAAAAAAGTGACACAAAACTCAGAAAAAGTGATAAAATTCAAAAAAAGTGACACACACACACTCAAAAAATTAACAAATACTTTAAAAAGTGACAAAATACCAATCAAAACCTATGTTTGTTATTCAAAAAAGTGATAGAAATTTTTAAAAAGTAAAAAAAAAAAAAGTAACAAATACTTAAAAAAATGACAAAACACCAATCAAAACCTAGTTTATTATTCAAAAAAGTGATATAAATTTTTAAAAAGTAACAAACAATAAAAAGTGAAAAAATTTCAGAAAAATGGCAAAAAAAAGTGACAAACGCTCAAAAAAGTTACAAACACACAAAAAAATGATAAAATTATCACTTTTTTTAAATAAAAAGTGCCACGATGTCACTTTTAAAATATTTGTATCAAAAAAAAGTGACACAATGTCACTTTTATTGTTCTTTTTTTCCGACTATAATCAAGACATTTGACACCAATCTTCAAGTAGGGAAAGCAATTTTGAATATGATACATGAGCATACAGCTAATCATTGCCCTAGTAGAAACAACACCAAAGACAAAGATAGATAACGATTTGGCGATTGAAAAGCAATGTATGAGTTAACTTACAACAAAAAACAAAAGAAAAATTAGAAGACATAATAGTTTGAACTAATGAAAAGAATCGCATTCCACTATACCAACATGAAATCCATTGTATTAACTATAGATAAAACTTTCCAATCGAAAATCTTACAATTTTTCCTCATATGATGAGCCACATTTCCTTCAAGTTAGGACGCTTACCTTACCTTAACAATGACGGTGAATCAATTGAGCCTATATATTTTCTTCAAACAATATTAGTTTTATAACATCATCAATAATCTTCAACATGTTTTTCCAATCTTTAACAACAATGCGAGGCCGGTATAAAGTAACTTTGTAAGGAAACCAATAATCACGTGGTATCAATAGCTCCCAATCCTACAAAAATAGAACAAAAAGAATGATTGGCCAGATAATAGTTTTATAACATCATCAATGAGAATTGAAATTTTAAAGTGGTACGAAATGGATTAGAAAATCAAACCGTCTTGACTCCACATCATAACTGGACAGGCCAAAACAAGAATGAAAGGAATGACAAAATAGGAACAAAAAGGAACAATAAACATATTTATACAACATGAAAAATCTCCATTTGAAAAAGAATGAATTACATCTTTATGCAATCAATGTTCTTTTTTCTTTTTTGAAAACCCAATCAATCAACAAGAGCACCAGTTAAGATTTTCAAGAGAACAAGTTCAATTAAGCCTAGCCTTACAAAACGATTGAGCACAATAGAGAAATTCAAAGTGACATTCAAAGCCATAAACAGATTTGCAAATAAGAAAATAGATCTTAACCTTAGATTCTCAAGCTTGTGGAGTAAGATTTCTCTTTTTCATTGAAGTACCTTCAACTTTTTTTACCACACTTTCTCTTCCTTCTCTTTGAGTCATGTACACTTCTATGGCCTTCTTCACCCATAGGTCCAAGCATCTCTAATGGTGCTGATGGTGATGATCGATAGGGTTGAATCTCATTTGATTTCATCACTTCTGGTCATGTGGCAGTAATGAGTGGATTAGGATTTGGTTTTGGTTTTGGGCTAAACGTATAATCTACGGTTATATTTAAGGTTGATGAAAAAAAAGTTAAGGCCCTGTTCGGGAGGGATTAAAAGCCAATTAAAATTGAAAATATGACTGTTATTGGGTCCCACTCGTCTAATAAAAGTCAACAATAACGGCTATATTTTCAATTTTAATCCGATTTTAATCCCTCACATACAAGGCCTA